TGCTCCCGCCAGTGCATCCAATGAGTCGTCGATACGTGGTAGGGGATATGCGTCGGCCAGCGTGACGGCATTGAGGCGTCGGAAGTCCACACAGAATCTCAGTGATCCATCTGACTTCTTGACTAGGACCACCGGTGCCCCCTAGGGACTCGAGGATGGAGAAATTATGTCGGCCCGCAGCATCTCCTGCACCGCTTGTTGAATGCCCTTTTTCCATTGGGCTCATTCTATATGTGTTTTGGCGCAAGAGTGCGGCATCTCCCGTGTTGATGTGGTGCTGCGACAGATTTGTGCGCCCTAGGTCGAACGGTCCCCGGCTGAATACGTCCGAGAACTCCTGCAATAACGAGTGCAGCTGCTGTTTCTGGTCCATCCACGATTCGGCCCCTCTGTCCTCGGACTGGCTGATGCTGCCTACAAGCTCGGGCTCTGTCCCTGGGGCTCCTAGTGACAAGGGACTAACGTGGGCCAGAACTGTTCCCTCCTGCACCGTCGCTGTTCTATCGGAGGTGTTCAACACCTGAATGAACAGATGCTGGTTCCTCTGTACAATAGTTTCGGCTCCCACCAGCGCATGGCGATCCATGGCAGCTGACGCCGGAGACACCAGGATGGGTGAGTCTGGTCGGGCTGTCACGAGGGGGGACCGATATTGCAGCGGAATTAGCATCTGGGCTGCCGGGGGAATGGAGACAGACTTACTGACCAGAGCCTGCACGTAGGGTACACCCCGGCTGGCCCCCTCCACCTTTAGGAAATGGAGATGCGTTCCCTGGACTTCCACCCGCCCATTGGCCAGATCGATTTTCATTGGCATCCGCCTCAGAAAGTCCGTCCCCAACAGGCAGGGTACGGGCAACGTTGCGGAGACAAGGATGGGTCCTGCTACCGAAAGCTGCCCAATCTGTATCGGGGCTTCAACCTGGCCCAGGAAGCCCATGCTGCCTCCATTTGCTGCAATGAACGTTGTCTTGACGGGGACTAAAGGTCGAATTTTATCCGGCAGCATCTCGTGCATGGTGCTCGAGATGATCGTGGCTGATGCCCCCGTATCCACCAAGATACGTGCCGACACTCCCGCGATTTCACCGACCAGGACCGAGGTTCCTGACGTGGCCGCTACCACCCGCCTTGCCAGCTTCCTCCATTGTGTGGCTGAGTCCGACCACTGACCAGGCGGCAGTCTCGTTATCCTGTGGTGCATGGTGAGATGATGGGGGATGGATGTGAATGGACCGAAGATGGGGTTCCTCCCTTTGGAGTGCGTTGCAGCAGGGTGAACGCACCCTTGTTACATAGTGTGGGTTGCGGGCTGGGCTCTCTATGTGGTGCAAATTGCCCCCCCTTGGTGACGTAGGATGGGCCCCCCTTGTGGTGTGGGGGGGCCCCCCCATTGTAGGGGCCGGTGGGGACTGGGGGTGGGCCTTCCTGTGAGCCCCTCCCTTCTCCCCTCCCTTTCCTTTGTCATGGGGGCGTGGTCCCCCTGGTTCCGTCTCGCTCTGCCGCAAAGCGGTGGCGAGGCGGGCCGTGGAACTGCTCCAGGGCGCAATGTCAATCTTGTGGGCTGCCTCCGCCCCAGGGCCATTGCCCCTGGCAACTCGCCGGCGTCGCAGGTAACTGGTGACGTCACGCCCGCCCGCGACGTCACCTCCGCCCGCAACGTCACCTCCGCCCGCGACGTCACGTCCACCCGCGACGTCACCTCCGCCCGCGACGTCCCTCCCGGCCTCGGCGCGATTCCCGGCGCGGTCCACGGCCCCGGCGCAATTCCCGGCGCGATCCGCGACACCACTTTTGGCCGCGACGTCACTTCCGGATGCAACGTCACGTCCGTTCGCGACGCCACTCCGGGTCGCGACGCCACTTCTGGTCGCGACGCAATCACCGGCCCCGGCGCTATCCCCGGCGCGATCCCCTTCCCCCGACCCGGACAATGGGAACCGGGGAACGACACTGACGGCGCCCACCCCGAGGAGACTCCCGGTAAGTTCGCGGCGTCGGAATTGTAATTGCTCGGCCCGACCGAGAGGCCGGGCGGGATGGCGTCACTCGCCTGGATCCTGTTGGCGTTCGGCCCCGGCGGGTTCCAGGTGACGTTGGTGGCCTCCGGCTCCGTGCGACACCCCCTCGCCACATGCCCCTCTCGACCACAACGGTGGCAGACCCACGGGGCGTTCCATCGGGGGGGGCTCGGCGCGATGTTGTAGAGGCGGCTGCCAGCGACGCGGCAGCTGGTCGCGCCCCTGGTCCCTCTGCTCCGCCAGTCCCCGGATCGCCGCGTACACCTCCCGCAGCGATGGCTCCGTCTCAGACGTCGGGGGTCTGTTCCCAGCTGCCCCACAGGCAGCCTGTGGCGACGGTGCAGGTTCGGCGGTTGGTGTCGCTGGACCCAGTAGCGCCGCGGCAACGGCTCGGCTGTTCCCCCCCGCCGCGCCAGCCACCGGGCCCACGGGTGGCGCCCGGCCCATGACCTGCTCGTGGGCTTGGATGGTCCGGGCAGCCCACAGCGAGGTGCGTTCCCCCGGCGTCACCACGGGCATTACAACGCCGGCGCGGCAAGCGTAGGCGATGAGGTGCTCGACCACGAGGTCCTCGAGCGCTTCTTCAGCCAGGCGAGGGAAAGCTCTCCTCGCCAACACGAGCAGCGCACCCCTGTAGGCTAAAGGGGATTCTTTAGCCCCTCGCTGGCGATCCTAGAACCGTTTAAAGGCTCCTTCCACCGGGCAATAGATCTCCCCCAAAGCCTCGTAGGCCGCCTGTAGTGTGGTCTTGCTGTACGAGGGAAGGGAGGTGTAAGAGAAGAGTGCTTCCTTGCCCAGAACGGATGGCAGCGCTCGTAGTGCCTCTTCGTCTGTCCACTCGAGAGCATGGAAGGCAGCCTCGAATCGGTGGACAAACCCCTCCCAATCTTCTTCCTCAGCCACGAACTTGTCGACGGGCCCCAGCCGACGCGGCCGTCCGGCCACTTGCTCTCCGTGTTGGGTGTTTAGCGGCGGCTGGCGTGACGAGGTTGGTTGCGGCTCTTGCCCGGCCGGCTGGTCGGCCTCCGGGTCCCGTGGCCTCTCCTCCCGTAGTACGCGTGGGGGTGGGGGTCCCGGTGCTGGCGGGCCCCCCATAGGGAGCCTCTGCAGTAGCTCCTGGAGTGCCCTCTCCACGCGGGCCATGCGGTCCTCCATGGGGTCCTCCAGGCGATCCGGGCCCCCTGCTGCTGCTTCTGATAGCAGGCCCCCTTGTTGCCCGGGATGGGAAGGATCCCCGGCCCCTGCTTCCTCTTCCCTTGGCTCTTTTCCGCGGGGATTCTTTTTTGTAGCCATTGTAATCCCACCGCTGCCACCAGATGTAAAGGGGGAGCCGACACCAGATTGCAGGGGTCTCGTCCTTTATTCCTTTTCTTCCATCCACACCTGTCCCCAGCCGTCCCAATATCGTTCCCACCAAAGCCCCCTCTTCCCGCCCGTTCTCCTCTTATATCTCCTCGATCACCCCTCCCACTAACCCACCTATTGGTGGGAATCCTTCCCCTGACACCCCTACACAAACATGATGCCTTGAATAAAGGTGTCAGTTTTTTACCAGTTTAAAAGGGTAAAAACCTACTACTATATTTTGCCACTGGTAAAAGAGATCTCATAGTGTAAATGCTTACCCCGAGCTCTCAATACTCTGATATTGCACTGTGTTTGAGTTGTATGCCTTCTGGTGTCATCTGGTCCAACACCAATGGGGACTAGGCTCTAAAGAAAGCCGTCTCGGGTGTGGACCAATCAACTTCAAGGACAGTGCATATTATTATCATTATCAGAGTTGCTTCTTTTTGTTAGCTTTTTTGACTACTTGTGTTGTGGTTATTGCAAACATGATGCCTTGAATAAAGGTGTCAGTTTTGTACCAGTTTAAAAGAGTAAAAACCTACTACTATATTTTGCCACTGGTAAAAGAGATCTCATAGTGTGAATATTTTGTTTACGTGATGAACCTTACTTAATGTGTCGGGTGGTGGGGAGTTTACCGACACATTTAATATTTACGTGATCTCACCCAAAAAAACAAAACCTCTTATAGATAGCGTGGTGAGATGTTGGCATTGCTCGTGCCGAAGTCCTTCGAGGTCGGTCGTTACGCACGTTGCAAGGGCCACGTTTGTGGATGGTCTTGCGGTAACGACGGTGTAACCGTTTATATTTGAGCGAGGGCACTCTTGGTCCACGCGGGTTTCTTCCAGTGCCGGGACATCGATGTCTTGAACCCTGAGGATCTTCTCAATATAATCGCAATTCACACCGGAGGTGCACTCGACGTTCATGACGGGAACAATGTTCACATTTGTTCATCCTTGGGAAGGATCGTTTTGTACCGTTGGTTGCTTATCAGGCTGGAAAACCTTCGTCGGGCATTCGGTTGCCGATTCGATGACATTCGTTGTGCTTTCCCTCGCAGCCGGCTAGACCACAAGCAGGTTGTCATCTTTCTCCTGCGTTACTCATGGATTTGAATAATGGGCACAGACGCAAAGGCTCAAAACGTTAAGCAGCCAGCAGCAAACAGTGCTTTCAATGATAGATAAGCATTAATATGTTTCTAGAATTGTGGATATGAGAGCTTTGGGGAAAAGATAATGGGAAGGAATTCTCAAGTGAAGCAGTGGGAGTGAAGAAGCAGAACGAGAAGTGTTGTGGCCGCCAGCATGGTGAGTGTGGATGGGATGAAAGAGTGAGCCTGATGAGTGAGCGGATGCATACGTGAGTGGTTAAGTGAGTGGGTGAGTGTGTGGGTGAATGGGTGGGTGAGCGAGTGGCTTAGTAAATTATAGTTGGAGTACATACGTGGCTGAGTGTGTTGTCACTTGCAGCGTAGTGACTGAACACAGTGTGGATGAGACGAAACAGTCAGTGTCTGGTAGAGACCTCAACATGCATGGAGGGATGAACGATAAAAGCTCACGGGAGCCATAACCACGGTGTGAAACTTGCCAGTAAGCCTCAGGAATCTGTATGTTCCAGGTTTCCCGACAAAGATCTGCGGAGCAACTACTGCCGAAACCCCAACCTGGAGCCTCGGCCGTGGTGCTACACCACAGACCCCAGCGTGCGCCTTGAGGCCTGCACCATTCCCCGCTGCAGTGCGTCCCCCGATTACCCCTTTTCCCTCACAGCCCTCTCCCCTTCATCTGCTGTATACAGTGCCGGATTAAGCTAGTGTGGGGCCTGTAACATATGTTATAAAGGGGCCCTAAATAAAATAAAAATCCTAAATATTAAAACACGTAAATGTTTAACTTGCATAGTCAAGTAATTGTATTATTTAATTTGCTACACAGCCAGATAATACGACAAATCGCGAACCTCAAATACCCAGTCGTTCATAAAAGTTGAAGGCAGTATAGTACTATAGTAATAAAGCAAGTGCAGAATCACTGAACCGGAATTGATAGCTTGAAAGCATAAAGCATTTAGCGCGGGGCCCTTGAAAGTGCGGGGCCCGTAGCATATACTAATTTTGCTACTAGGATAATTTGGCACTGGCTTTATGTAGTCACACCCAACACAGCGGTCTTCAATAATAGGAGTCTTTATTTCTTCGAACACGAGACAAGGTATTTAAAGATTCCCTTTTCTCCAAGCGTCACAAATTTCCTCGCTTCAACACGTTCCTTCGGAGTGGGCAGGTAGGAACTTGGTTGGACAGCGCATTCGTGCACGACAGACAGACAAATAATCCCTGGTGGGCAGTGTGGAAGCTGTTGTTCCTACTGTATAAGTGTAGTGTATAGTGTAGTGTGTAGGTTAAACGTTAAGTTTTATAAGGGCACCACGGGGTGACCAGCCTCACCCCACCCAGCCCCACCGCTCCCACCCCTCACCCAGCCCCACCCTCCCCACCCAGCCCCACCCCACCCTCCCCACCCAGCCCCTCCCCACCCAGCCCCTCCCCACCCTCTCCACCCAGCCCCTCCCCACCCTCCCCACCCAGCCCCTCCCCACCCTCCCCTCTCCACCCAGTCCCAGCCCCACCCCTCCCACCCCCAACTTAATTACCTTAAGGCTGGGAATGTTGAAAGAAACACGAGGCAAAAGATCTGCTTTTTTCTTTTCAAGGCTTCCATTTTATGAATGGAGCCACCCTCCCCAGTTCCATTTTGTGAATGAAACATCGCCCGTCTCCTCATTGGCCCGAGTCGAGGCGGTGCCCCCCCGCCCCACCAATAACCCCAACCCCACCCCCACCCCAACCCACCGCTCCCATTGGTCGGCGCCCCCGAGCCAATGGGAGGGCTCTGGTGGGGCGGGGCCATGCACGACAGACAGGCAAATAATCCCTGGTGGACAGTGTGGAACTGTTGTTCCTACCTGTATTATTATCTTTCCCCTCAAGCCCTTTGCCGAAGGTTAATTGACCTTCCGCTTTTTCTCGAGCCAATCGTTTTTTGCTTTTCCTCACGGATTCCAACCGTCCCCCTGTCAATCATCTTCAGTTTTCCACCCGTTAAGTACCAATCAGAGGGCTTGTTTTACTTCCTGACTATCCGTGTCATGCACGCCGTGTCTATAACGTTTGGTGAGTGTTTCCGGTTGTAATGAATCACTACACCGATATGACAGAGTTAGCCAAACATCCTAAAACTGTTTAAACTAAACGATTTTTTGTTATTTTACCAGGTATCCATCATCTGTCACGATCATGGCCAAACATCCCAATATAGGAACACAGAGCTTGGACAATTGTTGGAAGCACTGGTACTGGTTGCCCTCCCATTTGTCTGTGGATTGCCGAACTTTGGTGCAAAAACTCTGCACGTTACAAACTCTGCCGCAGCATTGTGCGTTGCAGAACAATACTATTAACATGATTATTCCAACACCGTGACATTGGAGAGGCATAGGATGAGGTCCGTGATGTGTACGACGATATGAAGAGTAGTGTTACCGATGGTTATTGTGAATGAGAGCGAGGATGGTGAGAACTATGATGGTGAACAGGTAAATTTGCAGACCTCCAATTGCGAAAGAGCATTCTTCACGAGATAGAGTTATTGAGAGCCCCCTGTAGAGAATATTTGGCTTCATCTTCCACGCTGCACAACGTCTTGGCTAGAGGCGGGAGTATTCACATTTTGCCTCAACATATTTGTGACTCGCCCATCGATTGCGGTGAATCCATTCATAATACGACTGCTGGATGGTCAGAGGTGGGGGTGGGTGATTTAATAAACTCACGCTGTAGTCAACGATTCAGACGGTTGTTTGGGAATGCAAAGGAAACGATTCGAACGACTCCGATTTCCACCCAGCAGATACGCCGCCACCAACGACCTCTACCAGCACCGTGTGCGCCAGAGGCCGTGGGGAGGGCTACCGGGGCTCCAGGACGGTGACTCTCTCGGGGAAATGGTGTCAGCGGTGGGACTCGCAGTTCCCGCACAGGCATAGCCGCACCCCAGAGAACTACCCCTGCAGGTAACCAGTGCACACAGCCGCCCGGAAGGAGACACGCACAAAGACAAATATTCACCGTGTGGCCTATAATAGACCTCACATGGCCTCAAAGTGCACCTAACCTGGCACAAGCGCTGTGGTTACATCGCCACCACTTAGTGTCTGCGTGAGAGTGGGGAGCAGTGGCGCAGTGGTTAGCACACTGCTCTGCGAACCAGGCAACACAAGTTCGATTCCTACCAACACCAAACATCAATGACATACCCATCCTGGGCTTCGCCTAGATCAGGGGTGGGGAACGTCCGGCCCGCGGGCTGTATGAGGCCCGTGAAATCATTTGATCTGGCCCTGTCAAGACAACCGAACAGACACACATTCAAACTAGGAGCAAACCTGGAAAAGCAGTTGCGAGTAGCAGCATCATCAATACCAGCTAACATCACACGCCTCGCCAAAGAGAAGCAGTTCCAGCCATCACATTAGGGGTGAGTTAATTAAATGATTGACCAAATATAACGGGCTAATTTTAAAGTTGATAATTTTGTATGGCCCGCGAATGATGTTTTAAATATCCAAATGGCCCTTGGCAGAAAAAAGGTTCCCCACCCCTGGCCTAGATCATAACTATTAAATGAGTGCCCGGCCCGATATGCACTGAGGAAACAAAGGTGAACGGGCGTGGTGATAACCACACCACCCCTTCGTGTGCTGTGTTGACCTGCCATAGTTGCTGGGCTAACTGTTTAGGCTACACAGGGGATCTTTTTCTTGGATCATTCATAAACATGCGTTTAGAGTCATTTGGCTGCAATACATTTCCATTTGATAAGCCACTTCGTTGAGCTATAATTGAGCTATAATTTGTGGCCAGGTCACTTCAGCGGGCCTTGCCTGGATACAAAAAAAAATCAATAAAGAACACGGAGCGGCGGCAAACGTGAGCAGCTACACGAGCAACGGGTTTCATCGGGCGCGCTTCCACTCCTCGCAGTTGCAATGCCGCGTGTGCGCGAGCGCTTGCACACGCAACGAGCCCCGCAGCACCTTGATCTTCCGTCCGTCTGTGTGCGTGCCGTCCTCGGTCGTTGCAAGCGGGCTGCAGGAGAACTTCTGCCGCAATCCGGACGGGAACAATGGCACCTGGTGCTACACGGTCAGCGCGGCGCTGCGCTGGGAGTACTGCGACGTTCAGCCCTGCCGCCCCGCCGCGCCGGAGCCGCCGTCGCCGCCGCACGACCCCCGCGAACCAGGCACGCGGACTCACCACTGCGCCACCACTTCGCACTCTCACACAACAACAGCGCTTGTGCCAGGTCAGGTGCACTTTGAGGCCACGTAAAGTGTCAAAAACTTGCTGACAGGTCACTGGACAGACCAAGGTGCTTTAGGTTGACTGAGATGACTGACAGATGCACCATCTGCCCTGTCTACTGTGCTTTATTTTTTCCGCCCAGCACTCTGCTCATTGTTGTGGGCGTCGCTCCTCTGCACCTCTGTTGTTGTTCCGGTGGCAGGAATTGATTTGTAAGAAGATCTGGAACTCATTGAGGCTTTCCTGGGTAAACAATCATAATAACTATTTTCTATTTTTATTTTACCAGGTAAGGCCCATTGAGCTAGGTTCGTAGCGCGCTGCGCTACGAACCTGGCGACCCGAGTTCGATTCCCGCTCACGGCCACCACCGGTGACGATTATTTGAACCGGTCCTGGGTCTCCTCTAGGTCGACTCAAACGAGTAACTGGTGTGGTGTGTGAACATCGCCACTGGGGGGACAAAGGCGGCCGGGCGTGGTGAAACCAAGTCCCGGGCAAAGCCGAGTAGTAAAGCTAGTCTTATATATATAAAAGGGAAATTTGTGAATGTGTCTGTTCGAAATGTTTAGCATACTTCCCGACATGCAACAAACTTGAAATTTGGCATGTGGGTAGCTTCCAGACTGTACACAAAGCCTAGCTCTGCGATCTTACATTTACTTGCAAATTATATCTCTAGCCCCGCCCACTTACCCTTGGGTTCTACCCACCTCAAACCAATATAACCTTTGGCTGCAGTAGCTCTCGCTATATTTCTTCCTGCCTCAGCAGTCCGCCTGCTGTATTTTTTCACCTGAAGACGATTGCTTGTGTTGCGATCGAAACGTCGTGATCTATTATTTATTTTTCCATCTACGTGAATTTACCGAAAGAACCAAAGAGTAGTATACACATACTGCTGAGCGCAGGCCCAAAGGCTTAGAATGTCAGGCGGCCAACAACACACGGCTATGTCTTAAGTTGATTACATTTATTAAGGTTACTATGATAAGAGATGATGATTATGGAGAGGGAATTCCAAAGTGAAGCAGTGTGTCTGTGAGTGAGTGAGGGAGTGAGCATTGTGACCTGCAGTGTGGTGGTTGAACCAGAGGCAGATCCATGGGGGGGGGGGGGGGGGGTGGTAATGATGTTTAAAGCTCTTCAAACAGGACCCTATACTCATTACAACAACAAAAACGTCCAATGTCCTGTCTCTGGCAAATAACAATACTCCTCAGATCCGCCGCTGGCCTTAACACAGGACAGGTGAGACAGTGGTGGCAGTGATGATGCAATGTCGTTTTATATTTGTTTGGCCTTCGGACAGTGCCGTCTCTGGTGCCGAGGCCACCGTGGCCTGCTGAAGACTCCCAGCCACTGTGGCCGCAGGGAGGGCCGGGCCTGCCACAACTCCCCGGCTCGCCGGCCCATGTTGCCCCGGGGCTTCATCGTTGCGGCGTCGCTGCCGCGGCTCTGTCCGATTGCCGCCAGCGAATCGTTGGGGGCTGCGAGGCTCGGCCCCACTCGTGGCCCTGGCAGATCAGCCTGCGAGTCAAGCTCACGGCCTTCAGCCGGTACTCACTCCTCCTCGTCGTGCACACACACAAAAACACATACACGCACACAAATAAAGACAAAGATCCAGCGTATAGCCTACACAGACTTTTGGGGCAAGTGCTGTTCACGAGCACCTATGAAGGCAAGTACGGCACACGAGGGGGTGGGTGACCAACACCACGCCCGGCTGCCTTTGTCTCCCAGTGACGACGTTTACACACCACACCAAGGTACTCATTTGAGGCTGAGTCGACCTAGGGGAGGCCCATGACCGGTTCAGATAATCGTCACTGGTGTTGGCAGTGAGCAGGAATCAAACTCGGGTCGCCAGGTTCGTAGCGCAGCACACTAACCGCGACACTACCGCTCCCCACCACACGCAAACACGCACACAAAACAACAACCGCCATTCGCCACTAAGTGGCGGTGACGACACCACGACGCTTGTGCCAGGCTATGTGCACTTTGAGGCCACGTGAAGTGTCGAACGCCCGCTGGCAGGAGGTCACAGGGCAGACCCAAGTGCCACAGGTCGACCACCTGTGCCCCCTATTGTGCCAACTTGCTGTGCTTTAGCCACCCGGCACCCCGCTCGTTGTTGAAAGCATCGCTCCTCCACCCTCCGTTCTTGTTGGAGGGCGACTGCCTCCAACTGCCCAGAGGCGTCTTTCACGAGCCTCCTCCACAGAGGCCGATCTTGACACCGCTGGTACCAGTCATCGGCAAGTCCACTCAGCTCCACATCCTCCTGTACCACATCACGCCATCACTTCTCTAGCCCGTGCCGTGCCCGTTTAGCCCCTTCTATTCGGCCAAACAAAAGCTGTTTAGGCATACGTGATTTGGCATGCGGGCTACATGACCCAGCCAACGCAGCCTTGCCTGCCGGAGGAGATCACCAATAGGACTTTGCCCAGATTTTTCAAGGATTTGTGAGCTCCTCACACCATCCAGCCTGGTTAAACCCAGGATGGATCGTAGGCAGGCCAGCCTAAATGTTTCCAATCGGCGAAGATGCTCCATTAGGGGGGTCCATGTTTCACAAGCGTATTGAAGGGAGGGAACGACCGTGGCTGAGAAGACTTGAAGCTTCGTGTGGAGTGACAGACCAGGTAGCTTCCACACAGTATTACGCAACCGATGAAAAGATAATGCCGCTCGACTGATTCTGCTGTCAAACAGGAGCTGGTCATGAGCACACTGCCCAGGTATGGGAAACTCTCCACTCTCTCCACAACTGCCCCATCACTGATTGGGAGTTGTGGGGGTGGAGTGTCCGATGGTACAAAATACCCAGGCAGGTGCTTAGTTTTGATGGGGCTGATGGTAAGACCCCACCTCTTAGTGGCACGCTCCAGTTTCAGCAGCAGCGCCTCCAACTCCTCCTTTGAGTGAGCAGCAATTACCAAATCATCAGCATACATAACGTGGTTGACCAATAGGGAGCCATCCCTTGACCACACCCGGGCATCGATCAGCCTCCCATTGTATCTGTACCAGATGGAAATTCCTCTAGTATAGCCATCAAAGGCTTCACGAACTATGTGGTCGAAAAATATATTAAATAATGTGGGAGCCAGAGGACATCCTTGTCGCACCCCAAGGTGAACAGGGAATTGCTCCGACTCCCGGCCATGTAGTTTTACCCAGGCCAGCTCACCATCATGAAGGTCCTTAATGATCGTGAGCAGAGGGTCAGGGACTCCGAAAGCACGAAGAACAACCCAGAGAGCCCAGGCCTACTGATGGTATCATAGGTCTTGACCAGGTCAATAAAGCAGAAATGTAGGTCTTGTTGGAATTCCCTACACCTCTGCTGTAGCAAACGTCTGCATAGGACCGCCCCATCCAGAAAACAACTTGGGGCTCCGCAAGCCTCTCCTCAGCGTGTCTGGCAAGGCGATATTTAATAATCCTTGCCAGGACCTTTCCAGGCACACTGAGGAATGAGATGCACCTGTAGTTGTTACAGTTTGTGCGGTCCCCCTTCTTAAAGAGGGGGACCACAAGGGCATCCTTCAAATCCTGTGGAACCCGTCCAGTGTTCCAGAATGTTGTTATGATACCATGTAGGGCAGTCTGTGCACAAACGCCACCCTCCCTCAGCATTTTGCTTGGGAGATCATCTCTGCCCGGTGCCTTTCTTGGTCTCAGACTCTGGATCGCCTTTAGTACTTCCTAAATAGATGGCATCTCAGCCAGCCACTCACAGGGGGTAACTTCTTCCTCCAATATTTGAGGCACCGCAGCCTCAGCAGGGTCTTCCCCACTTTGTCCCACGATGTTTCCCATGTCGAGGGATTTTCCCTCCCCCAGGACTTCACAGAAATGGTCTGCAAATCTGCAAACCTGTCCCTGGGAGTCAGATATTGGATCACCATTTTTCCCCGAATGATGGTAATAGGTGTGGCGCTGCAGGTTACTTTTTTGATGGAGTTAAATAGGGATTTGTGATCGCGGGCCATTGAGGCAGACTCCATCTCCTCAGCAACCCGCGACCACCACCCATCCTTCCAGCACCTCACGGCTCTCCGAACCTTCCGAGCAAAGGCTGCGGTAAGCCTCCTCATTCTCTGACGTGGGATGCTGTAGATGATGAGAGTGGGCTTGTCGCTTTTTCTCAACCATCCTGAATACCTCCTCTATCAGCCAGGGTCTCTGGGGAGGTCTAGATCGCGTACCCAAAGCAGCCACTGCAGCTGCCTGAGTCACAGTCCTAAATCTCACCCATTTACCCTCGACATTTGGAGAAGAGGGGGACGATGCCAACCCCAGCCGCAAGCGATGATGAAATTCTCGCTAGCAACTTTCATCAGCTAGCTGAGACCAGACCACCTTGGGCTTGAATGGGGTCCTGGGTGTACACCCACCACCGGAGAGGAATAATGGCAGGCGCATCTTACAGATGACAAGTCGATGGTTAGTGGGCAGATCAGCTCCACGGTAGGTTCTGGTGTCAAGAACATGGGCCTGCATCCGCTGTTCCGTCATTACGTAGTCCAGCAGATGTTCTTGCTTGGACCTGGCATGCATCCATGATGTTGTGTGGATGCGCCGATGCCGGAACAGCGTGTTGGTAATTACAAGCCCATGGGCTGCACAAAAATCTAGCAGCCTCCTACCGTTGTTATTGAGCTGATCTGGCCCATGCTTTCCAATCACTCCAAACCAGGTGCCAGCATCATGACCAACTCTGGCATTGAAGTCGCCCAACAGGATGACTCTATCCCGAGGGGCCACTTTAGCTAGCACCTGTGACAGGAGGTCATAGAAGCCATCTGACTCATTGGCCTTGCCTGTATTCCTCCTCGGATGTTCTTCTTCGGTGGGGGCATAAGTAACCACGACTACCACTCTTCGCCTCTGGTTGATGGGAAGGCGAGCCCAAAGTAGTCTGGGGCTTACCGCTTCCCACACCTCACCGCCACGCTCCCACGCCCCTTTCATTCTGTTGTTCAGAAGAAGAGCCACTCCCTGTTGTTTGGTAGTCACCTGCCCCGAGTAGAGGACTGTCCACCCCTCATGGTGGCAAGAGCCAGAGCCGGTCCACCGGATCTCCTGAATAACAGAGATCCAGGCAGTACCGGTCCAGCTCCCAACAGAGGAGTGGCAGCCTCTCCTCCACAGTGAGCGTTCGAACATTCCATGTGGCCATCCGTAGTGGCTTTTTGTTGTTTCTGGAGGAGCCCCGAGGGTAAAGATTCAATCTCCTGGCTCCGCCAAATGGGGTTAAGCCAGGAGACGTTATAGACGCCTGTCCCCCTGGGGCCTCCGGCTAAAGCTTATTAATTAGATATTTTTTACGTGGTTTAGTGGTAATTAATTGAAGGTGAAGGGGTTACCAACCCCTCGCACCCGTCCAGAGCCCCCATTTAGCCGCTGTGGTGGTTACAAACGCCCTGAGGGGAAAGGCCAATTGTAATTGGCCCTCCCCCCCACAGCACTGTCCACGACAACGTTACCCGTCCGGCACCACGAGGAGGTAGGGGGTTGTTTTTGCCGCACACACACACAACAACGACAAACACACACACGCACATACACACAGACACTCACAAGCATCCCATTCACAGCATCAGATGCACTTGGAGTCGGTGGTGGAGATACGTCCGGGAGCCTTTGGCGTTTACATCGACTCAGTGGCAGTTATAGGTAGAGCCAATTCCAAATTTTACTCTTTGGCCGAATATCAACACCTGCTTAAGTATTCCGCTGAATTCCAATTCAAATCCAATTATAGTTATTCTCAATGGATTGGATTTTAGTTTGGGGTTGCTTCCATCTCTCACGCAACTCACAACTACGCGCACCCACGCAACACGCACCAGATACACGTAACATACTGCACGCTGGCGGCCGGCTCTGTCCGCTGTGGGCTGCAGGGACTACTCACACGACTGCGGCGGAGCCCTCATCACCCCTGAGTGGGTCATCACGGCGGAGCACTGCGTCAAGCGGTGCGCTACACAGACACACACGACACACACACGCTACACACACACACGCTCCACACACACACATGCACTACACACACACGTACGTGCTACACACACACACGATACACACACATGCTACACACACACACTACACATGCGCGCTACATACACACACTACACATGCGCTCTACACACACAAACACGCATGCTACACTCACGCACACTATACACATACGCATGCTACACACACACATGCTACACACACACATACTATACATACACGCTTCACACACATGCTACACATACACATGCTACACATACACATGCTATACATACACGCTTCACACACACACGCGAGCTACATACACTACACACACACACGCTACAGTGGCTACACACACACGCTACACACACGTGAGACACACGCGCTACACACACACGCACGTGCTACACACACGTGCTACACACACACGCATGCTACACACACACACTCTACACACACGCGCCGGTGGCTTCGCGGTGCCAGGCGGCAAACCGGCCACGCGCGTGGCCTGTGGTCCAGTATTGTGGTGGCGGCGAGTGTTGGTGGATCGCACAGAGATCGTGAAGCTCCCTTCCCGTGGGCGTCCAGGTGCCGCCATACCCTGGTTTGCGAGAAGGTGGTACAGCAATGTGTAAACACCATCTGTTGCATCTGTATGGCATAAAATGTTGCCCCTCAGTTTAACAAGTAGGCTTTCGCGACCAATGTTATCCATGATAAAGGAGTTTTTTTTGGGTTGAATTACGTAATATAAATGTGTCGTTTACGTTCCACCACCCGACAGCCAATTAGTAAGGTAGTCACATAAACAAAACGTGACAATTAGTTACTAGTTCAGCACACCCTTGTTGGAGAGTAAACCCACAACATTTATTGAGTACGAGGTGTCGCTGGTAATCACAACAACCGGCCTCATCAGGCGATTTGCCAGAATTGTGGAGAAGTCTTCCTGTTTCAGTCTTAAAAAAAGAAACGCGAGAGTTTTCTCTGGTTTCCTGCCACATGTAAACAATCATAATTTGCGGCTAACTCATATATATGTAGTGACTGACTCAGAGACACTAAGAGTAGGAGGCACTCTGTTTATTAACACGGCCTGACAGTAACACTTGGCAACTACGGTTCCCAGTCAGGACAGCTGGTAGACTGCCTGACTGGCGACGCCGAGATGGTGAAGACGGAGACGACGGTGAAGACTCCAGCAGCACGACGGGGATCCCACTCCAAACGACAGCCCCGAGGTCCCCTCCAGGGGCCACTCTTATACTGTCAGCGTGGCCTGGCTCCGCCCCCGGCCACGCCCCCTTCTGGAACCTACGAGTGGCTTCTTGATGTGCCCCTTCCGTAACCTTTGCCCTAGATCCCTCTCTGGTTTATCACGTGGCCTGCTGTCAGTGCTGCTGTAAGCTGCAAATCCCCTTCTCTGCCAGCAGCCAGCACTATGTTGCTACGTGACCGATTCTCTGTCACGACATATATATAGAGGAACGCAGAGCTTGGAGGGGAAATGGGCGCTGGCTCACCACTGCCTTTCCTGCTTGCCTCCCCGCACACTCCGATTAGCACAGTTGGCTACGTGCGGTACGAAAGAAGTTCAACGTACACAAATAACATTGTCTGTGGTTCCTCCTGGTGCCTCTGAGTCGTTCTCTCTCTCTTCTCCAGAGCAAGAAAACACTGCGGTGGCGGCATGTTCCAACTTGAAGTAATTCTTGTTTGTGGTCGTCGTTGTTTTTGTGTGCAGGCCTGCATACCTCATGAAGGTTTACTTGGGAGCACACAAGGACAACGACCCTGAGCCGTCATGGCAGACGGCGTCCATCTCGAGGATCGTGGTCGAACCCGGTCACGCGGACATCGCACTCATCAAGCTCTCCAGGTCACGACGATCAGCGCGGGTGGCCGGCTCCGACCTGGTTGAGTGCTGAAGAGGGGCAGGAGTCATTCTACCACCTAGGGAAATATATCGTCGGATTAGGTCCCGTGTGTCATTAGTCGATGGCGAGAACCAGAGACCACAAACTAATCCCATAGAGATACGGAGAGATACATAAAGATACACAAAGATACGTTAAAGATAAGTCACGGTCGTGAGATTGTGGCCATGCTACCCAATGGACCGCATAGTGAACCACTGGTCTGCACTCCTTCAAGGGAGGAATAGCAAAACTGCACAAACCCTTTCCCGAAGCCATCTCGTGGCTTACAGACCTCGACATTAACACTTAGCTCCTGGACATATTGCCGCCACACGTAACCATAGACTAGAATCTAGACTTGACTACGGTAATGCCATGGTGGCTAGGCTTACAAGCCATTCCTTATCACGATTACGGATTGTAGCAGAATTCAGCTGCAAGGGTTCTCACCAGAATAAAACAAGAGGGAGCACTGGCAATTCTGCACTGGCTTTACAATCCTATCACTGATGTTTGAAGCACTCAGTGGAATGGTACCAGGTTCACTCATTAGAGTTATTGTCTCCACATCGGCCGCAGCAACCACTGAGGTCAGCTGAGAGGAGCGGATCAAGCTCTGCATTGCCAGGGTCGGGCTCATTAGGAGAGGAGGTGACTCTACTGGACATTTGTGAAAGAGCTTTATAGCTCATAGGATTCCTCCAGTATAAATATTCTCATTCTTTGTGTTCGGGCTCTGCGACTGTGGAACTCTCCACCGGATCGTGTCAGAGATTTTGCCCACACAAGGCTTGAGGCGTATTTATATTTTAAAACGTGCATCTCTTGTAAATGTTAGTTTCACCTTAACTTGTGTAGAAGAGTGGCCTCGAACCCCGTGGTAATAAAAGCGCCCTATAAACAAACATTATTCTCATTATTAGTACTCGCGAAGTCATTAGTACTTGCTGTGGCCAATACTCTCCGACAGCTGGCATTGTCTGCTGTCATCGTTGGCGCTCGCTGCTCCCGGCACGTGCCGTGCGTCACCGTTGTTGTTGTTGTTTCCGTGCAGCCCGGTGAGGATGACGGATCAGGTGAACACCGTCTGCCTGCCGGAGCGTGACCAACAGCTGGTGCATGGCACAATGTGCTACATCACGGGGTGGGGGAAGACCAAAGGTGCCGGCAGATCGCCCCGGAGCGCCCGCGCACCCTGTGGTCCCTTCAGCCGGCACCGCTTCCCGCTGTTTGCCACGTTAACTTTTGTGTGAAGCAAGTCAGGTTGCCAGCTCTTCTGTCCGCTGTACAACGGCAATGCCTATAAGTGCTTAACGTCACTCTCCTATGACGACTACCATGGTTACAGTTGCTGTGAACTTCACTCGTTGATTCCTCCTCCCGTGTTGAGGACACGGTCTACCAGACACTGTTGTTGTCTCTTCCATCACACTGTGTTCTCCCACCACACTGCAGGTCACAACAACACACTCACTAACCCACTCACCCTCTCACTCGCCACACTGCCGGTCTCAACAGTTCTCTCTCTGCTTCTTCCCTCGCACTGCTCCACTTTGGAATCTTTTGCCATCGTCTATATTTTTCCCAAGTTCTTATAATAATAATCTTCCTCAATTCAATTAACATATTCAATCTATTCCAACTCTGATCGTGCTGTACGTTGCAAGCCGCTTGATGTGTTATAGGCCACTGCTTGGCAAATGCGCTGCGTGCGTTTGTTGCGTTTTGTGCAGGAACTGGGAACGAGGGAGTGCTGAAGCAGGCCTTGCTGCCCATCATCTCCCGAGACGTCTGCAACCGCGAGGAGTTCCTCAACAACCGCGTGCCGCACACGCAGCTCTGCGCTGGCTACGAGCAGGGCGGCACCGACTCCTGCCAGGTGTGCCTCTCCACTCGCACGCAAAGATCCCCTGCGTAGCCCTCACGGACCGCTGGGGAAAGTGCTGCAAGCGAGCACTTGCGAAGGCCAGCATGGCACACGAGGCGGTGTGTGGCCAGCAACACACATGGCCGCCTTTGTCTTCCTAGTACTGATGTTTACAAACCGCACCAGGTACTCATTTTGAAAGACAAGTCGACCTAGGGGAGGCCCAGGACGGGTTCATATATTCGTCGCTGTTATTGGTCGTGAGCGGGAATCGAACTCAGGTCCGCCGGGTTCGTAGCGCAGTTCGCGAACCAGTGTGTAGTGGGCATCCGACACAGTCGTATTCAATATAGGAGTTTTTATTTCTTCCAAGGATTCCCTTTTCATCAAGCGTTCCGAACTCTCTCGCTTTCCCTTTATATATCCATGAAGCCCCATTCCCAAAAGTTCCCTGACCTGTTATTCATACAGTCAATCACCTTCCACATTTCCTAATGGATTCCAAATATCCTCCCTGTCAATCATCCTCCGTTTTTCGCACTTTCCATGTTGTATTTCTCCTCCAATCCCTTCAATTTCCTGCCTCTAACCAATCCCCTTTCAGGCCCGTTAAGCACCAATCAGGGGCCTTGTTTTACTTCCTGTCGGTGTCATGCACGCTGTGTCCATAACGTCAGGAATTTTCGGTTGTGATGGAATCACGACAAGTGCACTACCACTCCCCACACACACAACAATAGTCGCTAAGGGGCAGTAACATTACCATGGCGCTCCTGTCAGGCTAGGTGCACTTTGAGGCCACGTACAGATGCTATGGGTTGACTGAGATGACCAGCAGATGCACTCACCCACATAAGACGTTTTTCTTGGGTTAGATTTCGTAAATATAAATGTAATTTAACCCGCCACAACCCGACACAGCAAGTAATTGTAAATGTTGTGGGTTTACTCTCTAACACGCTGGTGTGCTGAAGTAGTCACAAATTGGCACATTTTGTTCACGCGACAAACCTTACTAATTGACTGTGTCGGGTGGTGGCGGGTTTAACGACACATTCATATTTGCGCGACCTAACCCAAAAAAAGCTCTTACGGATAACATTGGCCGTGAAATCCTACAACTATGTGTTGCACTCACTAGCACAGACGTGCAGGAAACAGCCTATCCACTCCCACACATGGAACAGGCAGCGTAATCCCACGTGACCGAAACAATCATCCACCGCGTTGAGTCCACTCCACACTCCGGTGCAATGTCTCTAGTGCAAGGGGAGAATGGCTGTGCGTTTAAACAAAATCAACTGTACACTCGAACCCGCGTGGTTGCTGGCTGCAGGGAGACAGCGGAGGCCCCCTGGTGTGCATGCAGGCCGAGCGCTGGGTGCTGCAGGGAGTGACGTCGTGGGGCATCGGCTGCGGAGACGTGGGAAAACCCGGCGTGTACACGCGCACGGCTCCCTTCATGTTGTGGATCGAGCGCGTCATCAACCAGTAGGGTCCACCCCCCCCACCCCCCGCGACCACACTTGGCACTACCAGACTCCCAGGGGCTGGTCCCAAAGCACGAAAGCCCCATCACCTGGCACACTTGGTATTGGCACTATCGTTGTTACACCAGGGGGTTATTATGAAGGAAGGCGCCAAGCTTTCTGTAGTTTCAGAGTCTGCTGTAATTTCACAGCAGGAGGCAATGTCGCCACTGCGTGTGATCACAACTGAGTAATGGGCAGTGTCATTTTTGCGAATGAAAAATGTGGACCGTGACGCCGGCACAAATGGCTGCACTCGTCTCGAACGACGTCGGGGGATCTTTAACCTCCACTTCGAAGCGGACAGCGCAGAGTATTTTTTTTATGGATAATAAACTTTTTGCAAGGAATCAAGTCTGCATTAACCACACGTACTTGTGGTGAACATGCAAACAAACATGCTCTGATAATATATGCATTGTCTTTGAAACTGATTGACCTACACCAGACAGCCTTCTTTAGGGCCTTGTCTCACCAGTGTCAAACCTATTTTTTTTCATACTTTGATATTGGCATTTTGTAGCTTCTCACCCCGAGCTATGAATGCTCTCATAGTGCATTGTCTTTGTACTGTTCGCCTTTTGGTGTTCTCTGGTCTGACACTGGTGAGATGAGGCCCTAAAGAAGGCTGTCTCTGGTGTCGGCCAGTTTCAAAGACGATGCAAATATTATCAGAGCATGTTTGTTTGCATGTTCACCACAAGGACGTATGGTTAATGCAGACTTGATTCCTTGAAAAAGGTTTCTATATAGGTGTTTGAACATCTTAACACCTTTTGATTTAAAGCTTTCGTGACTGCAGGGATTCATATGCTACGTGACTTTACCGAAAGAACCAATAATATCTTAACACCTGTTTTATTGCCAGAAAGGGTAAAACCTATTCTTATTTTTTCATGCTTTGAAACTGGCAAAAAAGGTCCCATTTTGATAATAAACCTGGTAGTAATAACCGGGGCGGCCTGCCTAATTCAAAACCACCGAACCTCTACAACAAGCGTCGAACATTTACAAACGCCGTTATATTTCAGTGACAGTCCATGAGAATGAACGAGGAAGTGACTCACGTTTGCGAGCACAACTTCATATTGTGCCCTAGGGGATGGTAGCGCTCGATGTTGCTGTTTTAGTCTTGGGCAATTGTTGGTATTGTTGGTTCTGGCTGCCCCTTCCCGCACGTTCGTGCAAACTCGACAGCGGTGTTCCAATTATAAGCTACATGAACAGCGCCGCTAAATACAAGTTCATAATTATTGTTATTTGTTGCTGTTTGATTTAATATGCTGTTTGATTTTTATTGTCAACAATATATGTATTCATTTAACATGCATACATTTTGATTGTGATCGTGGCTGCCATTTTCCTGAGGGCTTGTGGGAACTGACGTTGCGGGGTGTGTGACGTGGGTTCAAGCTGGGCGTTACGGTGTGTCAGGTGGGTACAAGCTGAACGTTGCGGGGTGTGTCACGTGGGTACAAGCTGGGCATTGCGGGGTGTGTGACGTGGGGACAAGCTAGGCATGAGCTGCCCTTCACACGCACAGACACCACGTGCAGCACAACGGCAACGAGGCAATGCACACAGAATAAAACAACGGGAATACTTTATTTGTTTCATTTGTGAAATTTCCAAAGGAGTTATTCTCTCAAGAGCTGCATAGCTGGATAATCGCTTGGAACCGTGGAATGATGAAGCAGCGCAGAGAGGTTCGGAACGGATTTACAGCGTCAACCTTAATGGAACACGTTCACTACAAAACACACAATGTGCTAACAACAACCCTTTACACAGTAATACTGATTCGTTTACATTTCTAGTTTTTAAAACATTGTACAAAGGAAACATACATTCCCAAATGCCCCTCGGTATGCGGTAACCAACGATAAAATGTTCATTCCAAAACCAAACCGCTGCAAGCCTCACTCACGAGTGTCCAATGAACGAGTAGTATAAGTCGGTTGATGCCATTTCACACGTCGGACGTGACGTGCGAATTTCCGCTTCGTCGGCAAACGACGCTCGATGAAGAATCGCAGCGTCCCGGGATTCATATCAAAGCCGTCTACGGCCATTCCGTCTATCCAACTCCAGAAGCTCTTGACGATTGCCTCGTGAGAAGTCATGAGACAATGCAAGAGACGCGACTACGTAAAAATATGAACAGGAATTATAATATGTAAGTCTAAACAATAGTAAGAATACACTTTATGAATAAGTACAATATACACTATTTTGCAATATATTTCAAATTAGAGACTCGAGAGTAACATTGCTATACACTGTACTTACATTCTATAAAGATTTTACACGAAGGAAGTGAACCTAGATGACCGCTCGTGGCAGTACGACTCGTGCACGATCCTCTGAAGCAGCGATGGATCCAGCAATGGAACCAGCGATGGATCCAGCGATGGAACCGGCGAGGGAACCGGCGATGAATCCAGCAATGGAACCAGAGATGGAACCAGCGATGGGGATGCGGACACGAGCGGGTCTACGTCCACGACCAGGAGCTGCATGAAGCTCTCGCGCTAAGTCCTGGGTGCTCTTTGCTCTCACAAAACGAGGAAGCAATGCTTTCTGAATATAAGCACTGCTACTCGCGGGGAAATAATTATTCCAAAACAACAGCGTTGTAGTTAACCGATGTCAGCCAACAACAACAAATCAAACAAATTTAGCAAGCAGGTTTTCGTAGTCGGTATTATGATTCATAGTTGCTTTTGGGGGTAGGACGTGAAATGATTTGGCCAAATCTGTGACGTAAGACCCTCAACAAATGTTACTGGATTTTGTCGTGAAGATGCTTTGGCACAGTTCCAAATTTAAATGTGAAAATTATTCTCCAAATCACCGGTGAGCTGACACGACAATAATTAATTGCCACGTGAAATAATCGTACTCTGTTGGACCATTTTGAGTGGTGGAGGGTCTTATAGTACAGATTTGGCCAGATCCTTAAGTTGCCTAACTCAAAAATATATTATTAATTAAAGGATACAAACATGGTTCCTCCAGTCTATCATATTTATTTCAATACAACACGTGTCTACAGTCAATATTAACAGCTATGCACGGTTATTGCTCGAACTGCCTGGTTGCGATATTCCCGACGGTCAAAAAGGTGACGCATCTGTGGGTTTCAACTCATCGCCTCATCTGCAAACAACCAGCCGTGAGCGACACAGTGCTAAGGTGCCAAGGAAGCATCCATCGTGTGGCCCGAGCGAGAGCCCGCGGCAAGCCCTCAGAAGGTAGTGGCCAGGCTTTGGCTACACGCAGGTTCAGCGCGGCTGAGAGTGAAGCCTCCTGTAGACGCTCACTGCAGGACTTAACAGTCACCGACGGTCGATCTTCATCGGTATGCACGTCAATCCAACTCCACGGAGACATTTCCACACGTTCCTAAATCCTTTACTGGAGAAGAAGGTTCTACAGATCACTCCTGGTGCGTTTGAAACAGCGCTGCAACTGTGATTCTGTGAGAAGCCTTAGGCGACTGAGTCAAGTGGCCATTTCTAACCCCCACAACGAGCGCAGCCAAACCAGGACGAATTTCTCAGCCTAAGTGTATTAAGACGGTGCAGTAAACTGCCAAAAGGTTCACCACAATACCTGTACCACAGCTCGGCACAAATACATTTCTGCTATCCGAACACAGATGCCGATTCCCGGACAGCAGGATTCGAACCTCGGTCCATTCTTACCGCGAGGCACAAATGCCGCAACATTTTCCCCCACTTCCGATGAGCACAGTTGTCTACGTATGGCGCGAAAGAAGTTCGACGTACGTCCAACTGCGCTTCCACCCTGCCACTCTAAACACGACAGTGACTGCTTCACGTCGAGAAGATGCCAATCGGTTTAATGTTGAAGACAATGTGTGAGCCAGAGAGACGACTTCACATCCCAATGCGGGTGGATCGAACCGATCGCGCGTCGCCCGGGGGTGGTGGGGGTGGTGGCGGTGGGGGGGAACTCGAAGCAGAACAAATCGTCGCAGTCCGTGGCCACTTATACAGCCACTCCCAAGGTCCCCAGGGCGGCTGCCCTGACCGGCACATGCAGGCAGCATCTTCAAGGTGGGTTAGAGTCGCTTTACTTAGAGAAGTCGGTGGGGGAGTGAGGGGATGTAGTGAGACTTGTTGTACGGCGGTGGGGGTGGTAGGGGTGGTGGGGGAGTGATGGTGGGGGGCAAACATTGCAGGCTGCGAGAGGGCAGATGATGGCGGGGGGAAAGGAACACGCCACAGACTGTGGGGCCGTCATCTGGGGCGCCGTTCTGTGTTTATACTTTGCACCAAAGTGCACGTCTTTTTGTTAACCTTGTGGTCTGGGAAATACTCGGCTGTTTTTAACAACTCAAAACGGCAACTAAAAACTTTCGTCAAAACCACCCACTAATTATTTCCAGATATTTATTTCGTTAAAAAAACCCCATCATCTCTGTGTTCAATGATTACATTATTGTAGCACTATCCACACGTCTCCACCTCAAGTATTGTGATATGGAGTTGTTTAACCCTCTCAGTGCAGGCGTTGGCCGCTGACCGGTTGGGCTAGAGCTGTTCCAACCAACGCATCTTGTCGAGGAAATAAAATGCGGCGATGACAGTGGGCCCAGCTGTGTTGATGAGAATGTCCTACAGAGGCCGATGTGAGCACGATGCTAAATAAACATCGGTGGGAAGAAGTTTTAAGCGGGCAGACAGAGAAAGCTGCCAGACTACCTGCGGAATCGACAGCGAGGAGACTAGACGGACTCAATAGGCGCGCATTCAACAGCCGTCGCAAGCTTTTAGAATGGACCATGACAAAAATGTAATGGACGGGTGTGAACTGTACTCGTGTGTGTAGAGTGGATTTTTCTATAATATTAAAATATTTTTTTAAGACAAGAATGTGATTTAGAATAAGCTTGACTTGTAATTCCGATTATGATGACATTTGTTTTTAACACGCAATACATTTGTATTATGTACATCGTTGTTTGCCGCCAGATTACGTCGTTCATTGTAGAGGGAATCAATAGGCTGGATTCAATGTCCGTGACGATAGAAACCCACTGAATGGATCAACAGGTAATGTATATTGCTCCGTCGCCAAGTACTGAAACGTCACGGCACACTGTGAAATCATGGTACGGGAGCCCTACTTCATGGAAGTGGCTCCTTAATCTAAAACCCGACTCATTTATCCAGCACATGCTCCTAGTCAGTTTATATTAGTTTGGCGCAGGAGAGAACTAACCTCAATGGTAATACAAACCAACAACAATAACTTCGTTCGTGTAAATTGGTGAAACAATACAACGGGCCTACATAGCCTGAAGATGGCCATCGTGAAGGCCAGGTTTTCCAGGCACATTTGCTCTGTCCAGCACCTGGTGCAGGCTTCATGGGGGAACTCCAATGACACCTCTTACCTACCATTTATCACTTGTTATTAAAGTTACGGCTGAAACTGAATTGAGACACACGAGGATGCGTAACAACCTATTGTAATAAATGAGTTTGAACTTGCGAGTACAACGCAGTTGCTATTCACCAACTGCGTATTCACGGCACTGCGCAGTTGCTGCTCGTTGTTGCTGCTCGTTGTTGCGGCGTGATGGTCGCTCAAGCGACCAACGAGGCCACGTGATTTTACTCGGACTGATAATGCTTTTAAAATCTGGCTAGACAAACCCTTCACATTTTGCATAATTTACCATTCTTTTATATAAACGATCCTCTGCGACAAAAATATACATACATCTTTCTTTAGGTAATCCGTTAAAAATAATATTTTACAGATGCCCGAAACCCAAAATATCAAAAATTTAATTGTTCCACAAAATGTTCATTGCATACAGTGGCAATGGTGCAAGATAAACTGTGTCTTGTCGAAGCATTCCAATTATTAGCAGCAGGAAAATGTTGCAAATCTGTAGCGTACAATCACGTTTGGCGGTTTCGCTGCCGGATATCGGCCACTCTTGCTGCTGCCACTGCCAATCGTGTGAACGCGGAACGTCAGCTCTGTGAGCCAAGGTAGAGGATGCGGACACAGCATCATGGAGCGGCCATCAGCCCAGCGGGGCCTCCACACCACCATCGCCGTCACCACCACCAACCCCAACCACTACCCCAACTACCACCGCTACCGCCACCACCACCTCAACCACCGCCATCAACACCACCACCACCCTAACCTCCATACCACCTCTGTCACCACTACCACTCAAACCACTACCAATACCACTCTAACCACCACTACAACCACTACCACCCCAACCACCACCACCCCCACCATCCCAACCACCACCGCCACCATGCACTCTCTACTAGCAGAGACAAAGATCCCCCATATAGCCTTAACAGACTGTTAAGGCAAGTGCTGTTAGCAAGCACCTATTGAGGCCGGCACAGCACACGAGGGGGTGGGTGGCCAGCACCACGTCAGACCGCCTTTGTCTTCCCAGTGGCGATGTTTTTATGCACCACACCAGGTACTCATTTGAGTCGACCTAGGGAAGGCCCATGACTGGTTCAGATAATCGTCAATGTTGTTGGTGGCCGTGAGCGAGAACCGAACTCGGGTCGCCGGGTTCGTAGCGCAGCGCAGCAATAACCGCTACACTACTCCCACCACTATCACCACCAACATGCTCGCCAAAGCTGACTCAAGAGACAAGACCAATAAGCAACCATATGCCTCCTCCACATATGCAAAAATATATAATTTTTTACAGATCCACCTGGAAATGCAGACTTTTAGCAATGGTTCAACACAAGCAAACTCTGGGCCAGTTTCGACATTCAGTGTGTCATCGGGCTTACTTGAAAAAAAGCTCATAAACTGTCAGATGTTTATAGGCAAAGACACTCTTTGTTAGATTTCGGTCCGAGATATGCATTTAGTTCAACCAATCTTGCTTAAATTAACCATTCCCAGAAGGCCGTGTGGCTGGTGGAATGCTCCGATTAGCAAGGCTGACTACGACATAAGTTCAACATGCATACATACAAAGTAAAGTCTACTTGTATTTTATGTGGAGGGACAGATATGGAAAGGGGGCACATCTTCCGTTTAGTTATTCTGTTACTTGTACTCTCCACGACGCTGACGTCTGCGTTGCTCGACTCAGCCGATCATCCCCCAGGGTAAAGATAAGCACCAGTCCTGTGAGAATCCCAGCAATGTGATCATCCAATGGAGAGACTGTACCCCTCCAGGGCAAGGTGGAATTTCCACCACTGGCTCAAAGCCACCAAAGGAGACGAGTGCCACCCCATTGCTCGTTTGAGCGACGAGGACATTGATAGATATTTGCTGCCAGGATGAGGGCTCTACAACGCGTGGTATCTCCACGTTTCAACGTAGCGGAGCACCGTGTATAAATTCGCACTACCGATCATCAGTACAAGATAACCATTACCGATCAACAGTACAAGAAAACCATTACCGATCGTCAGTACAAGATAACTGTGCTCACTTAGAATTCTCCTGGCAACACAATGCTGCACAGAAGACCTCTCATGGAAGTGAAACGGTTCTGGTACATTAATTGTAGTTGGTTCAATTCCTGGTGTTGCTTAATGGTCTCAGTGAGAAATTCTCATTTACCAAATGTGAAGTGGATGTTATAACCTGTAACTTCACCATTCAAAATTGTAAGGCATTATGTCATCATAGCAAATTTTAAAACAAGTTACTTGTCCAAAAGATATTGATCAACGTTTAATCATCCAATCGATTATAATAAAAAAAGCAAGAATGTCAGCTGGTTCTCAGCTGGTGTTAAATTGACAAATCAGTCTCGGTGTTGTAATGTGGGTGGCATCAACAGCCTTAGCCACGACGCTTTCTGAAGGAACCATCAAGGCCACGGAGCCCCTCTCTGGGTTGGTGACTCCCGGGGCTGCTGAGCATCACCAGGAAGCATGCGGGTGAACATCATCCTACACCGACGGTGCGGTGTGATGTCTACGCCCGAGTCATACACGCAAATGCTGATATGATACGCGCACCGGTGCTACGATCTGTACTGGTGTAATATAATAGGCCTTTGTGTTGATATTTTAAGTGCGGCCAATTTTGCATAGAGCCCACGTTTGCACCGGCAAGTAGGAGACGGGATGATGATGATTACACGAAGATTGAGATCATGGGAACTTGCTACATAGGGTTTCGTCGCCGATATGATTCATAATAGATTTTTGGGTTAGGCTACGTAACAATTTGGCGAGCTTCGCAACAAATTTGTTCAGATTATTCCGCGGCCTAAGGTATTAAAACACGTCGCCCTATGATATCCCAAGATTACTACCAGACTCCACAGAACGAGCCAATTTATACACATTTTTTTCCTCATATCAAGTTATGACTATCAAGCCAAGCAGCGCTTTCAACGAACATTGTAATATCCGGTTGAATCGTGGGTATGCCAACGACTCAGAAACTCTGTAAATTTGTATTAAAGAGTCCTCCGCGGCAGCGCTGTGCTTGCGCAAAAGCCAAGCGCGGTGCTCCTCTGATCTACGTGGTGAACAGGATGAACATGAGCACCCTTCACATTGACGGAACGATATTGCGACGCTACGTGGGATTTAGACTCGTGTGGCCTCGTGAAATTTGCTGTCAGCAGCCGTGTTAAGGCCAACAGCGGAGCTTGGGCAGTGGGAAATGGGGGGAGTGAGTGAACGGCCGGTGCTGTTGAAAGGCACCGCAATGCACAACTCGAATTCCAGCAGCATTTTCGTGAAAGCGTACTCTCGACAGCCATTCACACCGCATTACACGCATCGACAGCTATCCACGGTTGAGTCGGGAGGGTGGGGGGGGTCTCGAGGGCATGCTCAGCGCAGCCACGAGGACGGCACCCACTGTGGCTCAGTGTCCAGCTTGTTGACGTGCCGCAGCAGCTCCTGGTGGGCTTTGTCCAGGTCGGCGTTCACGATGATGCCATCGAAGTAGTGGCCGTAGCCCTGCTCCATCTCGCGGGCCTTTTCGATCACCTCCCGCAGCTCCTCTGGCTGCACATCGCACGCCGTCAGAAACATCACCACGTACATCGCCAATTTCCAGAATGCAAAGCGAGTGCAATGTAATGCGGAGATTTCAGGGTTCATGCAATGCCTTGAAATAAGCTCATTGAGCAGAAAATCGCTTTGACTTTTGTCTTGTCTAATTAAACTATACCATTAAAACTACATTTTTTGTTTGTTTATTTTACCAGGTAAGGCCCACTGAGCTATATTGCTATTTTTCAGAACTGACCGGGTCACAAATAATAGCGCAACAAAGTGGCTTATCACGTGTAAATTTATAGCAGCCAAATACTGTAAAGCATCTTTCTAAATATGGAGGGAAAAACCGGAGGACCCGGAGAAAAGTCCATGCGACCACGGGGAGAATGTGCAAACTCCAAATATATAGGCATCACACGGGATTGAACCCACGACCTCCTGTATACCAGGCGAGGTAGTTAACATCTCGCCACCGAGTTCGGGTCAGCGATGGTTATGATGATAGCCCTCAGTGGTAAACACCTGTTGCTTCATTGCCAACGTAAGTGAAATATAATTCCCAAGAAACGTGCACTCACTTTGGGGTTCTTTGATTCTTTTGCCATCATGGCTCGGAGTCGTTCTTGTGACGGCGGTGCCACAAAAATAATGTACGGCTTCAAATCGGAATTCTTTAACAGCTTCAAAGACTGAAAACAAAAAACAAACACAGGCTCTCATTGCAGTGATCTCTAGTGCTGCATGAGGCACATCTTCAGACATCAAGTTGAGCAGTAAGGTGTCGGGACTTACACGCCATCCCGTAGGTTTATATTATTATTACCAGGTAAGCTTCACTGATGAATCTCATGGCTTTTCGAGGAATGTCCTGCCAAGTTTTCCAAGTCAGGGGGCAATGATTGACACCTATGTTTCAATCTAGCAATTTGCAGCTAAGTCTGCAAATTTGGACCATGACACCAGCACACAAAGGCCTACCCTTGCGAATGATGTCACGGGGATCTTTTAACGTCCACTGTGCAGCAGTTTCTGTGTATTTTTCTTTTTTTTTGGCTAATACCCCCTCAGAAAATTCTTCAAAGTCAGAAAATTTGGAACCAGGGCGGCAGGGGCTACACATTCGGACCGTGACCCTCTGCAACATTGCGAGCAGCTTACGATCGGAAAATTACGCGAGGTGAGGTCCTGGTTGGGGGTTGACTCGGCCCATCATCCCACCCTCCAGGTCCATGGTATTGGAGACCACTTTGTGTGGAAATCGACGGTGGTTATCCTCTGAGACAAGACTCATTGACCCCCACAAAAGGAATTTGGAATTTCCACCACTGGGCTGTGCAGGGCTCTTAAGAGATGAGCACCGATATCTCAATGTTCATTTGAGCAGCAGGAAGTCACTCTTGACTTGAGTTGCCGATGATGACGATGACGACGATTATGGTCAAACTTTTTCCACGCCGCCACCACCGCGTGTGCCTCACCTGGGTGTGCAGGTTGAGGACGCAGATCTTGCCCGAGTTGATGACTTGTCGCACCGAGTCGATGCTGGTGCCGTAGAGGTTCTTCTCGAACTCGCCATGCTCAATGAATTTGTGAACTCCAATGTCCGCCTCAAACACCTGCCGTGACACGAAGTGGTAGTCGCGCCCGTCCACCTCGTTGTCCCTCATGCCACGCGTCGTGTCTGCGAGCCAACACACAACGATTAGGGGCCCCAAGTACACAAAGCGACCCCGAACACTCGTCCCAAGTCCGCCGGGCGGAGATCGTCGTAAGATCTGAAGAGCCGTTGGAGAAAACATACAAATTAAAAAGGGCATACTTGGGTCCTAGTGAGACGGCAATGCTTGTTGGCATGACAGCGGTTGCTAGGGACGATGTCATCACTCCCACTGCACCAGCCAAGCAGCTGCCAAGAAGACAACCTCGCATGCAACATTAAGGCACTTTGAGGTCCCCCATGCAACATAGACGACAAGATGTAATCGCTCCATGCGCTTCAACCAATCAGCGGCTGAGGTGAGTAGATTTGTGTTCGTAATGTTGATTATATTCAGTATTAAAAATGTTCAATAGTATAAATGATTGTGTGCGTGCGAGCATGTGAGTGAGCGAGTGTGAGCGAGTAAGTAAATGAGTGTGTGTAACCGTGTGAGTAAGCGAATGAGAGAGCATGAGTGTAATGAGTGCATGTGTGTGAGTGAGTATGTGAGTCCGTGCATGTGAGTGCGTGCGAGTGAGTGTGTGTGATTGCGTGTGTGTGGGGAGCGGTGGTGTAGCAGTTAGCGCGTTGCACTACAAACCCAGAGACCGAAGTTCGATTCCCACTCACGGCGAACACCAGTGACGAATATCTTAACCGGTCTAGGCCTCCCCTAGGTTGACTCAGCCTTAATTGAGAACCTAGTGCGATGTGTGGTGCTCACCACCCATCCCATGTGCCATGCCGTCCTTCAAAAGTGCTCGCTAACAACTCTTGCCCCAACAGTCTGTGAAGGCTATAAGGAGGCTCTTTGCCTATTGCACCACTGTTTGTGAGTGATCGAGGCAAGTGTGAATGAGTAAGTGCAAACGAGTGAGCAAGTCGGTGACCAAGTATATGTGAGTGACTGAGCGAGCAAGCGAGTGTGTGTTTGAGCAAGCCTGTGAGCCAGTGTGTGAGCCCGGCAAAAACAACCCCCTACCTCCTCGTGGTGCCGGACGGCAACGCTGTGGTGGGCAGTGCCATGGGGGGAGGGTCAATTTAGATTGGCCATTCCCCCTCATGGCGGTTATAACCACCTTCAATTAATTACCACAAAACCACTTCTAAAATATCTAATTAATAAGCTTGTGCCAGAGGCCCCAGGGAGACAGGCGTCTATGACATCTCCTGGCCAAACCTCATTTGGCAGAGCCAAGAGATTGAATCTTTACCCTCGGGGCTCCTCCACTTAAGTTTGTGAAGCCTTCGATGGCTGTACCAGGGGAATTTTCATCTGGTACAGATACAATAGGAGGCTGATCGATGTCCGGCTGCGGTCAAGGGATGGCTTCCTATTGGTCAACCATGTTATGTATGCCGATGATCTGGTAATTGCCTCTCACTCAGAGAAGGAGTTGGAGGTGCTGCTGCTGAACCTGGAGCGTGCCACTAAGAGGTGGGGCCCTTACCATCAGCCCCACCAAAACTAAGCACCTGCCTGGGTATTTTATACCATCGGACACTCCACCCCACAGTTCCCAATTGGTGATGGGGCAGTTGTGGAGAGAGTGGAGTTTCCCATACCTGGGCAGTGTGCTCATGACTGGCTCCGTTTTGACAACAAAGGACTCACTCCGAATCAGTCAAGCGGCATTATCTTTTCATCGGTTGCCCGCATGCCCAGTCACTGCATGCCTAAACAGCTTTTGTTCGGCCGGATAGAGAGGGCTAAACGGGCGTGACACGGGCTAGAGAAGAGATGGAGTGACATGGTACAGGAGGAGCTGAGTGGACTTGCTGATGACTGGTACCAGCGGTGTCAGGATCGGCCTCTGTGGAGGAGGCTCATAAAGGACGCTACTGGGCAGTCGCCTTCCAACAACAACAGAGGGCGGAGGAGCGATGCTCACAACAACGAGCGGAGCGCCGGGTGGCTAAAGCACAGCAAGTTGGCACAGCAGGGGGCACAGGTGGTGCATCAGCCAGTCATCTCAGTCAGTCGAGCCGTGGCACCTGGGTCTGCCCCGTGATCTCCTGCCAGCGGGCGTTCAACATTTCACGTGGCCTCAATGTGCACATAGCCTCGCACAAGCGTCGTGGTGATGTTGTTGTTGAGTGTGAGAGCGAGTGTGTGAATGAGCAAGTATGTGAATGAGCAAGTGTGTGAATGAGCGAGTGTGTGAATGAGCGTTTGAGTGTATGAATGAGCAACCGAGCGAATGTACATGAATGAGTGAGTCAGCGAGTTTGTGAGCGAGTGTGTGTGAGTGAGCAAGTGAGCAAGAATGTGAATGACGAGTGTGTGATTGAGCAAGCAAGTGAATGCACGTTAATGAGGGAGCGTGTGAGTAAGTGAACGAGTGTGTGAATGAGCGAGCGTGTGAGAAAGTTAATGAGTGATCGAGTGTTTGAGTGAGCGAGTGTGCGAGTGAGCGCGTGAGTGAGCGAGCGAGTGTATGTGAATGAATGAGCGAGTGTATGTGAATGAGCAAGTGTGTTAATGTGTGAGTGAGCGAGACCGTACGGGGCGTTGCGGCAGCAAAACGGTCCGCGTCACTCTCCATGAGTCTCGTTCGTAGCTCGTTGCGGCCACAGTTGGGAGGCCCGATGAGCACAATAGGTCTCTTGCGGTTCGCAGGCTGGTGGTACAGCGCCATCTCCTCGTACGTCAGGATTTCATCGGCATCCATCTCTGCACACGCAGCACAAGCGGACAAGAGCGCAGACTTTTTCACCTTCCGTGTCAACCGTAGATGACCATTTGTTCATTATTTGCCCCTTGCTCGTGTTTACTCAGGGTAGGCTCACTGCGTCTCGTGACGATTTTTCAGGAGGGACTGGCCAGGTGTTTGTGGTGGTGGTGGGCAATATTGCTGTGTCGAATCCCAATCGAGTCATTTGCAGGTTTGGGATATTTGGCCAATACCAGTTACAATGTTTTTTTTTTAGCGAAGGGAGGAAACCAGAGAACTCAAAAGAAACCCATTCAGATCAGATGGAGAACATACAAACTATGAAAACTCACTCACATTCACTCTCACTTTAACACACTCATACACTCTCACATATTCACTCACCCACATTCTAAACTAAACTATTCTTTATTTTACAGGTTAAGTCCACTTTTTCAGAGGTGACCTGGCCATAAATGATAGCTTAACAAAGTGGCTTATCATATGGACATTTATAGCAGCCAAAAACTCTAAAGGCATGTTGATTCTAAATTGGGAGGAAAAACCGGAGGACCCGGAGAAAAATCCAGGCAACCACGGGGAGAGAGACATGCAAACCCCACATATACAGGCATCGACAGGGTCGAGATCGAACCCAAAACCTCCTGCATACTAGTGAAGTACCGGTGAGGACGCTTGACGCCGAGGTTGAGGCACACGTATGTTTATTCACAATATGACAGTGGGCATATACACACTCGAGGGGGTATCGGCCCCCTCACCCGTATAACTCGGGATACACCCCTAGCTAACTCTGTCCTAGCCCCGAATCCTCCACTAATGGGCTAGGGGAGGCTAACTGGCCCGACACTGGTAAGTCGGGCCCGGTACCCGGAGTTCCAGACCAGCTCTTACAAGAGCACCGGCTCTGGCTTTCGGGACCACGCCGCTGGCTCAATCCTGTCCGGCCCTGAAAAGGACATCGAACCAGGGGAGTCCAGGGCTCTATCTAAGACGTCTTCAATCTTCTTCCCTTAGCTTAAACATAACTGCCGAGCCCTTTGAAACATCCCCTTTTATACCCAACCCCTCCCTGAGGGGTGGGGCCCCGGGGGATCATAACGTTCGAACCAGCCCCCCCCAGGGTGTCTGGCTCGGACGTCGTAGAGGGCACTTGCTCGTGCACTTACGTAGCCCCGCCCACTGTGTTTGTTTTCCATAGGCTGCCATGCATAACGGGCCCTCTCTTTAACACCCCTACACTAGGGTAGGGAAATAACATCTCGCTACTAAGGCAACCATTTTTTCACTCAATCTCACTCCCTCCCTCACTCTGCAGAACAGGAGGAGAACAAGCAAACTCCACACAGCAGGGTTCCCCAGTTGGCAATCGAACGCAGGCCGCTGTTGCTGGGAGACGGCACGAGTGTCACCCCACTGCGCCGCCGCTACGCTGCCGCCCGGTGAGAGACGGTGACGATGAGCGAGGCTCGGCCCCGTGAGCACCGTGTGCCATGCCGTACCGTAAAGTTTCTTCCTCTTCTTCTTGTTCTTCTTGGCGCACCACAGCTTTCCTGCAGGGAATGTGCAGCACAGGTGAGCAGGACTCATTGGTGCCCGGCTCTCCAGACGCACCCCGATCGACTGCGCGCGCATCTCGCGTTCGCCGTGCGCTTTAAAAAGCCACGATAACCGCGTGAGGTGGCAGGTGCTGCGCAGTGGAGACGCGGTGACGACGGAGCGCAAGGATCGAGGCTGCCTCTCCGGTCTAGGGACGCGTAGAGAGCGCGGCGAACAGGGATGAGTGATCGAGTGAAGAGAAGGGGCCACTGTTTCCTTGCTCGCTCACCCGACTTCTCCATATTGTCATCCTCCTCCACCGTCTGCTTCATGACCTCCCGCTGCTGTTGGAAGCTTTTCCCTACAAATCATCCACACAATCGCAGACAAAGACAAAGATCCCCCTTATAGCCTTAACAGACTGATGCGGCAAGTGCTGTTCGCGAGCACCTATGAAGGCCGGCACGGCACACGAGGGGGTGGGTGGACAGCACCACTCCAAGTGGCGATGTTTACACACCGCACCAGGTACTCATTTGACGCCGAGTCGACTTAGGGGAGGCCCAGGACCGGTTCAAATAATTCTCACTGGTGGTTGCCATGAGTGGGAATCGACACGGGTCGCCTGTTTGGTAACGCAGCGCGCCAACCATTACAAAGATCCACCGTATAGCCTGTAACAGACTGTAGGGGCAAGTGCTGTTAGCGAGCACATATAAAGGTCGGCACGGCACACAAGGGGGTGGGTGGCCAACACCATGCCCGGCAACCTTTGTCTCCCTAGCGGCGATGTTTACACACCGCACCAGGTACTCATTCGAGGCTGAGTCGACCTAGGGGAGGCCCAGGACCGGTTCAGATAATCATCACTGGTGTTTGTCGCGAGCGGGAATCGAACCCGGGTCGCCAGGTTCGTAGTGTAGCGCGCTAACCGCTACGAAGCTCTTTTTGCAGCTGTCCAGCTCAAGCTGGGGTTGGCAGTGGTGCAAAATCACAGAGGGAGTTACATAGAAGATCCATTGCTAAGGCACACAGGGGCGGCTGCATGAAATTCAAGCCTACAATATGAATGATAAATATTGGGTTCACTCAAAACGTAGGCTTTCGTAGCCACCACCAACATGATCCACATGTGAATTTGGGCGAGGCCAGTCCATGCCAATATTTCTGTCATGGTGGAGGGTTAACGGCAAAAAATGTCATATGAAACTGCTATGTAGTGGCCCTGACCCAGAAATAAATATGGATCATAAACTGGGCTAGTTAACTGATATTACCGGTTCCAAAATTCAGGAACTGGTCATCGATTCCAGTGGATTCTTAGGAGGAAAGAGGAGATGTACCCACACTTTACTCCACCACACGACCTGTCGATCGACTGTGGTGTAACGATTTATACTGCTGCTGGGTGGAGAGACGGTGGGGGGAGGGGTGTGGGAGATGAGAAGCTTGCCCCATTGCTTCAACCGCCACGCCGGTAAATCAAACAGCACGGCCGCTAGCTTCCTTTCTCAGTTAAAAGCTCAAAACGTTACGTTTAATGCAACAAACAGCATGTTTTTATTACACGCTTTTTATTAACTCACTCTGTTGTATCCTCAAATCTTGTAACTAAATTTTTACCCACTTCCCAATGTGGTGTCGACTGCAAACTTGATATACTTATGTCATACTGATGACAACACTATATTCTATCATTAAAAATGAAAAATAGATATTTTTACCAACATTATTTTTTATATGTTATGTTTCGGCTTGGGTCTAATTGTCCACGCTCAACTGACGTTGGCTGTAAATCACCACGGTCTCTTACGTTATGGCAAGCTTCGGGGCCACTTCCTGGAGTCGTGGAGTTCTTCCATTACTAGTATGGTATATTTCAATAAAGTGTGTTTTTAAATTATATATGTTTTAATATTACTTATGTATTTAATATTGTTGAATACTGTATCCACTCATTCGGTTGTCCGGTCGGACACAAATACAAAGCTTAATAGTAAATGTTCTCATTTATTGCTGTCCAATGAAGGTTGTAAGCATTAATGCGTTAGGCTTTGTCCATCTGCCTGACATGCGGATGTCAAGACGGTTGGACAGAGCCTTTCCGGAACTTGGCCTCGAGAAACCCGGCCACACAGGCCACCCAAACGAGCGGGACCCCCAAGCGGTCGGTGCTGTGAACCCGCGGAGGGGAAGGTGCCGTTACCTGGCACGAGGCCGGCCAGTGGCTGGTTCACCTCCTCACCCTCGCGGAACGCCTGCCACCAGTTGGGGTCCTCCTGGCTCATGATGTGTAGCACGTCGCCCTTCTGGAAGGACAGGCCCAGCTCGCGGCACGGGATGTAGGGGTCGTCCAGCGGGTCGTAGTCAAACAGGGCCTTCATGTGCACCTGAGCGAACACGGTGGCACACCCAAACAAATTTTTGGGTGCAGGTTGGTCATGCCGCGCTCCTGTGTTGCAAGCGAGGGTTGGTGGATCACGCGCGCATTCGTAAAAAACTCCCTCCCCACCCGTAGGTGTCGAGGTTGCCATGTCTTGCCCCTCATCAGGGTACGGCAGTACAGCAAGTGGGTTGATTTCCATTGTTATTCCCTCCAGACAGAGATTGAGTGAAGGCCACCCTCGCGTGCGTGGGTTTTCTCCGCGTACTTCGGTTTCCTCCCATAAGTATAGAACACTCACGAATGGAGTTGTCCAAAGATCCCAATATAGGACGGCAGAGCTTGGGCATTTGTTGGCGCCAGGTTCGACTGCCTTCTCGCTCGTGCGTAGCTTTCCAAGCCTCTGAATAATTCTCTCCCCACGCCATCACCATCTCTCACTGTGCCACCACGATCCATCCCCCACTCCTGCACGGGTCCCATTTCATCGCTGCCTCTCCCGAGGCGTCATCCTCTTTGGCGCATTCTATCCTCCGTCATTCAAAATGAGGGCTACGGGCACTGACCCTTACAATTAGTGGAGTGCAACAGCATGGCAACCGTAAGTCGGGTTCTGATTTTCATAGTAAAACAACAGACACGGAAGCACAGGTGCACATGGGGCGACCGTAATAAGGTCCTTCTGCCCAAGGCTGCCACAGAGAAGTTATGTGGTTGGTAGCCAGAAGATAAGTTTACATGTCAATGCAACTCGTTGGCGTAAAAGAGCATTGTGAGGTTTCCCAAATTTATTTTTATTAACTGATGTAGATGCAGAGCAACAACAAAAAATTCACATTCAGGTGGTCAAGCCAGATAACCACTTCAGGAGTAATGGAGTGTATCGCTGTGATGTTTGCACACATCAGCTAGCATTCATCGTTTAAAAACATGTGTTGAAGGGTGATTAGATGGTGCTGCAAGTTTGGAAAGCGTAGCTCTTTGTCATGTGACTGTTTCAACCTAAACTTAAAAAAATTAAACATAATGCAGAAACACTGAAAAGGCAACGGAAATTCTGACAGTGGCGAGGAGGTAATATTGAAACAGATAAGAGCTTCCATTTTCACCAGGGGTGCGTTCAATGGGAAAAGCGCTTTTCTATTGGACGAGCTGTTAGCCCAGGGTGCGGCATCTGAGGGGAGCTGCCACACCGAGCATGAGGTGGGGGCACCATGTCAGACTGTGTCAAGATGGCAGACATTCACGACCAATGCAGCGGGCGCCCATGCTAATTCATTTTTAGCATGCGTCCATCTCGGTTAAGCCGTCTCGCAAACAATGCGTGGCTTCCTCCCCCATTTAAATAAAAAAAAACAAAGCACCCTCCTGACACGCCATTCAATAAGAGGCACCTCCCACCTCGTGGTGCCAGGGCAGAGTGCTCTTGCCCACTTGAACGCACCCGCAGGATTAGGGCCAGTGGCACAAATGGAAAAACCCAACGAATGCCAAACATACGAACCAATACCACACTAGCCCCGAGCACACATACCAATGACCGTATTACGTAGCAATAACAAATCAGTGCCCAGCATACACACATACCAATGTCAAACCAACATCCGAACATGCATGCAGCGCCAAACCAATATCGCATATGCGGTACCAGCACAAAACAAACACCGAACATACAATCGTACGATTACCAAACCAACATCGAGCATACCAATGCCAAAAACAGCATGGTACACACATGCTCATGCCAAATCCAAGACCAAACATACGGTCCAATCCCAAACACTGGCATGCGAACATGCCGACACCAAACCTCATCATCACCGGCCACACGTGCATACCAATACGAAGCCAACACAGAGAACACTTACAGGTACAAAACCGACAGCGAACATTCATGCATGCCACTGCCAAACCGACACCGAACTCACATGCATGACAATTTTGAACGAACACCAAACATACATGCATACCAATACCAAGCCAACACCAAACATGCAAGCATGCCAGTATTAAACTAACATTTGGCAGGCATGCCGGCAACAACCACCACCAAACATTCATGGTTGCCAATATTGAGCCAAGACTGAATATACATACCTGTACCAAACCAGCACCTGCCATATATTCATGCCGATTTTCAAACATACTGAGCAAACCAGCGCCAAACATTCCAGAGTAGCCAAACATAACCAACATACCAAACAAAACCAAGAAAGACTTTTGGATAACACAATAGCTCTGATGTTTTGCAATGTGTTCATGTGCTCGTGCAAAAGTAATTAAACGATGCTCACCACAGTTTCTTTGGGTTGTGTAGCTTTGTGGAAACGAGTCGGGATGATGACGAACGTCAGAACTCCGTGCATTTCGGCCTGCGGAGGACACGTACACCGCTTTGGAGCCACCCTCCACCATTGTCTCGACGCGAGCGACGCTGCTCCTCAGCGTCGCCACTCGCAGCACGCCGCTGGCACAGCACTCACCGCCGCCACCCCCCCACACCCCGTGTGCATCACCCTTCCTCCACCGGTTAAACACACTTGGGTACTGGGCTGCGGATCCCGGCTCTGCTCAAAATACCTCATCAGATATTATTCTAAGATTGAACCTCATCCGATAGTTGTCCAGATAACGAAAGACACATTCCCCACCCCCGGTTTTTCACAAACCCTACCCGACAAAATCCTACCCACAAAACCCTATCCTACAAAACCTACCCACAAAACCCTATCCACAAAACCCTACTCATTAAGCAACAATTCCTGTCAGATGGCTCAAGGGTAGAGCGAGCTGCTCAAATTTAAATGTCGTGAGTTCAAATCCTGGTTGGAGATGGACTCAACCTATCATCCCTCCCAGGATAGATAATATTGATGACCACTTTGTGGAAATAAAGGGTAGTTGTCCTATGGATAGACTCTTCCCCACCATAGGAATGGAGAAAATCCAGGGCTGTAAACAGGAAATGAGCACCAACGGTTCGAAGTTCATTTCAACAGGAGACCACTTTGCCTTTGACAATGCCCTCACGCCCACCCATCGGTGCGGCACCTCTTGCCCGTGAGACAAACGCTGCGCAGTAGAGGGAGGCGGGTGAATTACCAGCAAGTCAAACACCTCGTTCACGTCCTTGCCCCGCATGGGGATGTTGTTGATCTCCAGGATCTCGTCTCCCTCGTGCAGGAGGCCACTTTTCTCTGCTGCGCCCCCGCGCACCACACGGCTGATCACCACGGACTCCCCGTCGTTCCGCACCGTCGCCCCCTGCGTCCACCAGGGCCACCGCCGCTCATTTAGGGTCACGTGCGGCAACGTCGTTCCCCCCCCCACCCCTACCAGCAGACTACCGCCCCGCTCGCAGGCCGGGGCGCTGAGTCACCCTGTGTCACACAGGGACAGCTGCCACCAGGGGGGTCCCCTTTTCAAGTTTAAGATGAGATGTTGATACTAAGCCGCTCATCACATGTAAAGTGCTCTGAAGAATATTTGCTGCGAGCAAAATGTGAACCTTTTCCCATTCCGAGACATCTGCAAGTTGCAGGGTGGGGGTCCCGTTCACTGCTGAATCTCGGAACGCGCCAGCGATTAGCTTTCATTTTTATTTAGAGAGGCGCAAAAGCGCCTCTGTTTTATAAAGACATTGTACTCATCGCAGAGGACCAAAGCGACATGACCACAGCTGGCGCCAAACTGTGCCACACGCCCTCCTGTATGGCCTTGTGGGAGCCTCGGAACCGATTAAATAATTTTATTTATTTCCGATGACAAACAAGTACGTCACCAGAACGGAATTGGAAGAAAAACTGATGACGTATACGTCCGTCATCGGAATGGGACAGAGTTAAGTGGACAGCTAAGTGGACAGGGCAATTGTATTTTGAATTCATTACACTCGGTTACCCAGCAAGGGTAAAGGCCAAATCTCAACTCTCTTTCATGAAGGTTCTGCTATGTTTCCGCTGTAAGCGGCAACGTTGCCATGTGTCATCCAAATTTTGTAATTTTTTTTTTTTTCAGAATTGGCATGTTTTGGCAAATATCAACTGTGTTATGTGAAGAAACCTGAGAACCCGGAGGAAACCATGCAAGACAAGGAAAGAACAAACTCCTCACTCACTCACGCTGCAGAACAGAGGGAGAACATACAAACTCTTCACTCACTCACACACTCTGCAGAACAGGGGGAGATCACACAAACTCCTCACTCACTCACTCACGCTGCAGAAAAGGGGGAGAACATTCAAACTCCTCACTCCCTCACGCTGCAGAACAGGGGGAGAACATACACACTCCTCACTCACTCACTCATGCTGCAGAACAGGGGGAGAACATACACACTCCTCACTCACTCACGCTGCAGAACAGGGGGAGATCATACAAACTCCTCACTCACTCACGCTGCAGAACAGGGGGAAAACATTCAAACTCCTCACTTACTCACTCACGCTGCAGAACAGGGGGAGAACATACACACTCCTCACTTACTCACTCACTCACGCTGCAGAACAGGGGGAGATCATACAAACTCCTCACTCATGCTGCAGAACAGGGGGAGAACATACACACTCCTCACTCACTCACTCATGCTGCAGAACAGGGGGAGAACAAACAACTCAGCCATAGAAAGGTGCCTGAGACTGGAATCGAACCCAGGCACTTCTTGCTGTGGAGCACGCTTTATAGATCGGAGCGTGGCCTGATTTGAGGAGGGCCATACCCGGCCACGTGCACGTACCAGCGGCACGTCGCGCGCCTTGTCTATGCGCACCACGCGCACCGTCTCCTCCCCGTGCTGGGACAGCCGCTTTGTCCACTCGCCCGCCAACGTCGCCTCGGTGGACATCTCCCGCTGGGCCACTGCGTCGTGCACAAACAGCATGGCCTGCGCAACCAAACACGCAGCGACTCGTAGTGCGATCACATCACGGAGATGATGACAATGATAATAACGAAAATATAATTTGTAATGAGCACAATATTTTGTTCGACAAACGTGACCATGACTCTGAGAAGCGGAGGCAGGCTCGGTGTCGCTCACAAGCCGGGCGAAAGAGACGGGGCCTTTCAGTGTCTCTTAAAGGTCGGTGTAGATTGATCGCTGCTGCTGTGAATGTGCAGGGGGATATAGTAGCCACGTTCCAGATGGAGAAGTCTGCTATGGAGAAACAACGGCCAACAGTGACGGTGGTCCTGGTGCTTATTGTAAGAGGAGGAGGATGTGGCGAGTAGCACTGCTGCTGCTGACAGTTCTACCATGAGCTGCAGTGCAGGGTGACAGGAGCGAGAAGAGATGCAGTGGATGACTAAAAGTAGAGGCACGGTGGCATAGGCAGGCGATCTTGCAGATGAACTTTCTGTGGCAATGGGAAGCCAGTGGAGGGAACTGAGATAGTTTTTAAAACGCTGTGGGAATGGGTTCCTTTGCTATTATGGAGGTAAAACACGAGGCACAAACAGCACAGATGTTCCAGGCCACATCACCCAGTGCTCAAGGCACCGCGGTGTGCAATGGCTGTCTGAATAACCTGACAGGGCGTGCCTGTGCGTACGAGCGACCCGGTTTCAATTCTTGCTAACGGCCAACACCAGTGACGATAATCTGAACCGGTCCTGGGCCTCCCCTAAATCGACTCAGCCTCAAATGAGTATATGGTGCTGTGTGTACACATCGCCACTGGGGAGACAAAGGCGGTCAGGCGTGGTGCTGGTCACCCACCCCCTTGTGTGCGGTGCGAACTTCATAGGTGCTCGCTAACAGCACGAGCCCGAACAATCTGTTCAGGCTATGCGGTGGATCTTTGTCTTTGTGTGTACCTGGAAGTCACTTCCTCCCAGCAAGGACCGCAGCTCATGTCCCTCCTTCTGATGGGACGTGTTCAGGTGATTTCTGACCTAGTGAAAGACAAAAACACAAGAAGTTTTTAAATGTTATCATTATTTGATGTGCACTCAGAACAACAGGTAATGGAGGTGGACCTCACACCACTGCAGCATGAAGGGCCTTCATTTGAGAAAGATTAAAGAGACCTTGGAAGGGGTGGGTGGACCCCCAGTTTACCCCGCCATACACTTATCTCCTGATCGACTGTGGCACACCAGTCTTTTTACTGCTGAGTGGACATTCGGTCGGAGGGATTTAATAAACACACAGACCACAGAGTGAGACCACAGATACCACACAGTGATGCCGCATATAAACACTACACACATACCCACAAAGAGAGTGAGACCACACATACACACAGACAGTGAGACCACACATAACAAACACAGACCACACAGTGACAACACGCATACACAACACAGCGACACTACATATGTAGTGAGTCCAACTGAGTCGCAGACGTTGTCTTGGGAGCAACACTATTTATTACATAAACTCAACTCAACACAACATAACGTAACCTACACTGGGGTGTTGAACCCCCATCTAACCACGCTATGGCAGAACTAGACACAGTCACGCTATCCCGGTCCAGACCACGAGCTGGGTCCCGGACCGCGTGGATAGAGGCTTCTTCAACCCGACGTGGATCTTCACTCACCAACAGTCAAGAACCCCGAGCCCCACACGGGGCCCCCTTTATATCGGCCCGGGCTGGGGCTGGCTCCGCCTCTCGCCCCGTCCACCTTCTCGATCTCTCTGGCCCTTTCCCGAAGGCTCCCGAGAGCTCCTTTATGCCACGTGACCACCCAGCGCCCCCCATCCACCGGTGGCCCCCCTCCAATATCATCCGGTCACGTGTCGGCAGGTCAAACAGCGTATCATGCCCCAATGTAACGATGGCTGGCTGACACTCTCTCTTGCTCCCTCACCAGGAGCCCGCACCGCACACTGCACGTGGTACCTCTGCGCTAACCAGCGCTCACCCAAGCCCCGCTAGGGCCGGCACTACGCCCAGGTAAGCGGGCTGCACATAATGACAACATGTTCTTCGCCGTGGCCTCGCAAGCCCGGCACCACACAGTGACATTCACAGTCACTACACAAACAATACAACAGAGAGTGACACAACACATAGAATACAACAGAGTGACACAACACACATAAAATACAATACACAGTGACACCATACATACAATACAACAGTGACACCACTTATAGTGCCACCGCATGCACTCACGTATTGTTAGGCTTGCGTTTGGTCCTGCTAAGGTAACACGCACTGGATGAGACACGTCCACACGGCCGACATCCTCACTGGCAATGTTCTTTGTCACCACAACGCCTAACCAGTCTCCCCAAGGCGGGGGAGGTCACACAAATGCGTCGATATGCACACAAACCTATGGGGATGAAGTGATTTGTTTTTAAAATCACATTATTACGTAACATGATCATTAGTGCACTTGTAATCACGCGGGCATTAGTCGGTGTGAGGACGCACAGTGCACGCCGCCGCACAGCTTTCTCTATTGTTTATTGAGTTTGTGAGCCAGGCTGGGCCAGGATTGGGCAAGGACACAGCCCCACTTTTCACCCAGGCAACTGGAGAGCAGAGACTTAAGATATTTCTTGACTTAATGTTGTAACAATTCCATAGCGCACAATACCAACCACAGTGGGTCTTCGCTTTAACGCGTTTTCACGCAACACGTTTTCTATTCGGGGGAAGACTTTTGTGCGCATCGCGGAACGCGCGTCCGTTGTAAAGCACATCCACTGTGTCGCGCGTCTGTTATAACGCAGTTTTGGAGCAGTCAATGATGAACTACTTTCTTGAGCTGCGGGGCTCAGTGGTATGGGAACTCTGGAATAGATGCACGGAATGATGTAACACCCAGAGTGTAACGCCACCACTCACCCCTCTACCCCAACCCACCCCCACAACAACAAGCAACAACCACCACTGCCTCAGCTAAGTGAAATTTTGTTGCATTAATGTTATTTTTAAAATATTTAAAGAATTTTATTTATAAAAATATATAATTGTTAAATCTCCATCCTCTCTCTCTCTTCCCCCCCTCTCCCTCACACACACAGCATTTTTTTAAAGTGACCCTTATAAAATTCTGGCGTGGAACCCAACCCCCACCTTTTACATTATTTCTTATGGGGAAATAGTTTTCGGGAAATGCATTTTCAATTAGCGCACCACTTTTTGGGGAATTCATATACAGCGTTAAACAGGGATTTACTGTAAACAATTCTAAATAATTTAAATAAGATTAGATATTACATTTTTACTTAAAACTTTCGTGACTGCAGGAATTCATATTCTTTGGTTCTTTTGGTAAAGTCACGTAGATAGAAAAAATAATTAAAATAAAGTGAATACAAATATCACGACGTTTCGATCGAAACACAAGCGGTCATCATTAGGAAAAAGGGTTAGCCTCTAAAGGCAAACTGTTTATAAAGGTTTGGAGATGGGCGTAGCTCAAGTGGATCAGCAGCACCAGCAGCATGGGCGGGGCAGCAGTGCCAATGCAGCAGCAATGCCAATGCAGCAGCAATGCCAATGCAGCAGCAATGTCAATGCAGCAGCAATGCCAATGCAGCAAAGGGCCACTAGGAAATCACTGCACCCTGAACCACACACCACACTGCTGACGGTCGAGGTTGATTGACAAGAAAACATAAGTCAAGTCATGACCCAAAGTGGTTGATGACATCTATACAATGATTGCTTGGTCTATAACCTTCCTCTCAGTTGAAATTGTGTCTGTGTCTGTATATATAGATGGCTTCATGAACGAATCTTTGTTGATAGCCAGTAGGCTTGCAAAGTACCATCATCTTAGAGAAATACATTTTGTGTGAGCCAGCCGCATTAAAATAGACCAAACGGTTCTCCTTAAAACCTTCTGCTGCTAGACCACCCAGATTATATGGCTTACCAAAAATCAATAAAGAAGGTACACCCCTTCATCCCATCGTCTCCACCTTTGGCTCTCCCACCTACAAACTGTTCCGATATCTGTCTGAGACGTTACAGCCATTCACTGGTAGGACCACCTCTTCTGTACTTAACTCAGCTCACATGGTATCGTCAATTAAAGACATCTCACTGTCCCCAGGTGATTTATGTCAGTTTCGATGTAGTTTCTTTGTTCACCAAAGTTCCTGTGCCTGATCCCATCGCAATCATTGAAGATTTGGTCCAACAAGGATTGAATGCTGATGTACCGGCCCTGGTGAGACACTGCCTCACCAATACATACTTCACCTGGAATGGAACATTCGACAAACAAACTGAAGGCACTCCAATGGGTTCTCCATTATCTTTGGTTGTAGCCAATATTTTAATGGAAAAATTTTAGACGGACTCCATCCAGGCATCCACTCTACGCCCGTCCTTGTGGAAGAGGTATGTGGATGACACGTTTGTCATCTGGCCACATGGCCGACCGGCTCTAAACGAATTCCTCAACCACATCAATTCCATACACCGAGCCATCAAATTCACCATAGAGGTAGAAAAGGATGGCATGCTACCTTTCTTGGATGTCCTAATCAAAAAGAGACCAGATGGCTCAATGAGCCATTCTGTCTACAGGAAAATAACCCATACTGACGCCTACCTAAAACCTGATTCCCACCACCATCCATCCCAGAATTCCCTCATCAAAACGCTACACCACAGAGCTCAATGTATCTCTGACCATGAACACCTAACCAGTGAACTCAAACACGTACACCAAGCTCTCAAGGCGAATGGATATTCTGACTACACAATCCGCAAAGCCATCACCCCAACCATGAGGAAGGAGCCACCTGAGGATCCAATCAAAACCATTACCCTGCCATACATAGCAGGGGTAACGAAAGAGATTTCCAAAATCATGAACAAACACAAGATCCAGGTCCGATTTAACACAGTACATAATATTTGTAATCTGATCCCATCTATGAAGGCCAAGATTCCTGACATGCAATAGCCCGGCGTCTACAAATTAAGCTGTATCTGCGGCAGTAGTTACATTGGGGAAACTAAACGACATGTCTCGGACCGTGTTCGTGAACATAATACAGATTTGAAACATGGTAGGACCAATACTTCTGCCGTGGCTGATCATTATTTTCATGCGGCTGGCTCACATGAAATAGATTTCTCTAAGACGATGGTACTTTGCAAGCCTAGTGGCTATCAACAAAGATTTGTTCATGAAGCCATCCATATCAACCACTTTGGGTCATGACTTGACTTGTGTTTTCTTGTTAATCAACCTCCCCCATCAGCAGAGTAGTGTGTGGAGCTGGGTGCAGTGATTTCCTGGTGGGCCTTTGCTGCATTGGCATTGCTGCTGCATTGGCATTGCTGCCCCACCCATACTGCTGGTGCAGTTGATACACTTGGGCTATGCCCATCTCTAAACCTTTATAGTTTGCCTTTAGAGGCTAACCCTTTTCCTAATGATGACCGCTTGTGTTGTGATCGAAACGTCGTGATATTTTTATTCACTTTATTTTAATTTGTATTATTATTTTTCTATCCACGTGACATTACCAAAAGAAGCAAAGAATATAAAATTAGATTTTTTTTTTTACTTCAAATCTTATCAACGACCAGAAAGGACAATGATTGTGGTATGCTACGCTCTAGGAGCACACCAGGGTCTGCAGAATGCGCCAACGATGAGGAGTGGTTAAGCTTAAAACAGTTTAAGTGTTTGTGTCACTGCCAAAAAATGTGGAAGTTGGAAACGACGAATCTCTCCATTAGGAAAGGAAGACCAGTCACATGACCTTGGCTTGGCCGGTCACTGTGATGACGGCACGAGAGATGATGTAGAAGGAGCGGTTTGAGAGATCAGCGGAGAAGCTGGAGAGACGAGGTACTGGAGACACGTACAAAGTCTTGTACGTTGGAGTCTCCGGCGACGTGATTATATTTTTGTCTTGCGCATTACAGAGTTTTGCATTACACTAGGACCCATATTTAATAGAGGGGGTCCTTGTCTATAAATAGTTCACTTGCATCGGCTCAAGGAAGCCTGACACTGCTGACACTGAATGCCAAAACACAGTCCAGAAATTGCTTGTATTGAATCAATGCTGCTAAAAGTATACACTCCCAGAATGGCAATTAGCCTGATTGTATTTTTACGTGCAGGGCCAGATATGTGAAAGGGTATTGTCTAATTATAATAATAATGTCAACTTGCAACACGCCGTCCGCCGTAACAATATTCACTCACTCTCGAATAGAGAGAACGACTCAAGAGGTGCCTGGAACCAGAGGCAAGCAGGAAGGCAGCAGCCATGTGGTGAACTGGTGATAACAATTGGCCAAGCCGTGCATTCTTCCATGTATTAAGATGTTTTAAGCCATCTTCTTGGTTCTTTCGGTAAAGTCACGTAGAATGGAAATAATAAAATAATAAAAATAAAACATAATAAAATAATTCTCACGACGTTCCGGCCACAACGCAAGCAGCCGTCCTCAGGTGAAGACCAGGTCTGTCGGGGAGACAGCGTCTGAATGAAACAACACCACGCTTGGAGCGTATATTTAAGCTGGGTTGGAAGGGGGGAAGGGCGCCTTGACAAAATAATTTGCATATCAAGAGGAATTTAGCATATTTATGGGAAATGCAGGTATGTGATTAGTACTACTTGTGAAATGCGTAGGAGGTGGGCGGGGGGGTTTCAAAGTCATAATTCGTTTAGCATTAGAAGAAGTTACAGCAGCAGAAGTTAGTGTAAATGCGATTGGTATTACCTTAGAGTCGCGGCATCTCTTCAGAAAGGTGAGAGACTCGATAAGCTGAGCCTTCTTATCACGGAGCTTGTTGAAGGCTCTTAAAGTTTTATGGAATCCCACCCCGTAGTGGCGGTTAAATTTAGCTTTCGTGACTGCAGGGATTCATCTTCTTGGTGATTTAAAGCTTTCGTGACTGCAGGGATTCATCTTCTTGGTGATGAATCCCTGCAGTCACGAAAGCTTTAAATCGAAATTTAACCACCACTACGGGGTGGGATTCCATAAAACTTTAAGAGCCTTCAACAAGCTCCGTGATAAGAAGGCTCAGCTAATCGAGTCTCTCACCTTTCTGAAGAGATGCCGCGACTCTAAGGTAATACCAATCGCATTTACACTAACCTCTGCTGCTGTAGCTTCTTCTAATGCTAAACCAATTATGACTTTGAAACCCCCCCACCCACCTCCGACGCATTTCACAAGTAGTACTAATCACATACCTGCATTTCCCATAAATATGCTAAATTCCTCTTGATATGCAAATTATTTTGTCAAGGCGCCCTTCCCCCCTTCCAACCCAGCTTAAATATACGCTCCAAGTGTGGTGTTGTTTCATTCAGACGCTGTCTCCCTGACAGACCTGGTCTTCACCTGAGGACGGCTGCTTGCGTTGTGGCCTAAACGTCGTGAGAATTATTTTATCATGTTTTATTTTTATTATTTTATTATTTCCATTCTACGTGACTTTACCGAAAGAACCAAGAAGACGAATCCCTGCAGTCACGAAAGCTTTAAAACGAAATGTTTTAAGCCAATTAATGAGTGCATACTTCCCACGTATGCGAGTTGGCAAGACTCCCATACAAACGGAATAAGTCAAGTCCCCATTTGCTGTATCGCCATCTCCTGGAAAACCAGGGGATGGCACTTCGATGCCCATGGGAAGGGAGTTTCACAACATTTTGTGTTATCCACCAACCCTCGCTGCCTCCATAGTGCTGGACTACAGGCGTGCGCCACCACTGTCCGGCTTTCCATTTTTTATTATCGTCGTCACAATGACGTGAATGATTGGTTTCTTTCATGTGTTATAAAGTATTGGAAATCTTCAGGTGTGTAAAAGCAGCAGCAAGATCAGGAGAACTTGGGAGTGGGCAGGATCCATGGCCAGAGGAGAGGTCATTGACCGCACAAAGGAGATCTGCATCCACAACAGCCTTGGCGGAAACCAGATTGCACTTTGTTTTGATTGTCCTGGAGACCACGGAGGCAGCTACGAGGTGCAGCTGTATCATGTTTGCCGCCTGTTGGACAGGATTTGCAGTTCGAATTCGGCAGGCCCCCCCGGTCATTACTGCAGATGTATTAACTGTAACATTCTCCATGCTGTGCACGATAAAGATCACCACGGCATCATTCCAAATGAGGTCACTGCGTGCCGGCGTCAGGGTCAAAATTTGAATGATTGACTGCACACGACTACATTTAGATTACACACAGCAACATCGCCCCCTATTGCTATACTAGCACAAACTGCCTGCGAAACAAAGCGCCTTCCTTCGCGATGGTCTTGCGCTTTTAGAACGTGCCAATATATCTGCATATTATTGTACTCATGAGATTTTCTGAAAGGGTGGGAGGAGGAGAAGACTACGTACGGCAGGAGCGCGTTGTTTGTACAGATGCAACTCACGTCTTGGGCGATCTGCTGGGCGTTTCCGCAGCGGGGGAAGGGTGGGCTGGGCCGCTTCATGTAGAAGGCCACCGCGTTGTGGATGCTCAGCGCTTTGCGGAAGTCGGCCGACTGCAGCAGCTGGCTGAGCACGTCCAGGTCCTGCGCACTTTGGTTGTCCTTCAAGAGGTTCTGCATCAGCTGCACCGACGTCTGCAGCTCGTCCAAATCTGGGAGAACAGCGCGCAAGCATATGTTTGGTGGGGGGGCGGAGCGCATTTTCCGCTTGTTACAGGAGGCCGAGTGGTTTAATTCCGGCAGGCAGCCCAAGTGAATATTGTGGGTGGATTAAACTGAAAAAGTACGTGCCGTCTGTTTCAGTGTGGTTGTTAAATTAAACTAGTTTTATTTTACCAGGTAAGACCCACTGAGCTAGAGTAAAACCTTGGATTGCTCGCATAATTCGTTCCAGAAAGGTGTTCGTAATCCAAAGCAATCGTATATCAAAGCTAATTTCCCCATAAGAAATAATGTAAACTCAGATGATTCGTTCCACAACCCAAAAATACTGTACTCATATAAAAATGATTACTACAAAATACATTTATATATTTTTTATTATTTAAATGTAATATAAAGTAATCAAATGTATTAATTAAATGCAATCGTGGCTGGTGTGAGGGAGACGAGAGAGAGGAGAGGAGGGTTATTGTGTAGGACGACTTTCACTTGCAGTACAGTTACTAAAGAACAGTCGCTACACTTGGACACAAAATAAAAAAAAATGCTTTACGCACACACACGTGGTCACAACACTATAGTAAACAGTATACGATCGCACGGATGTTGACTATACGAGTGAGGCACGCCGACTGAGACCGAGCATGGGAGACGTTTACCCACAATCCCGAAGCGAGAGAGAGAACCATTGGCTCAGTTATGATCACGTGACGCTCGGCAGACAAAGCGTATACTGTACGTACTACAGTACTCGTATTGCAAGACATCGCTCGTTTATCAAATTAATATTTATTTAAAAAATTTGCTCGTCTTGCAAAACACTCGCAGACCAAGTTACTCGCAATCCAAGGTTTTACTGTATATGGTTATTTTTCAGAAGCCACTTGGCAACAAATGATAGTTCAACGAAGCGGCTCATCATTTGGAAATTTATAGCAGCCAAACACACTTAAACGCACGTTTATAAATGTGGGGGAAGAAAATCCATGCGTTAAAAGATCCTGTGATGTCGTTCTACATGAGTAGGCCATTGTGTGCCGGCGTCACCGACCAAGTTTGCCAAAAAATATGAAATATCATGGCAAATTACTCGATTGGAGTATGCACAGCAATCAGTTCCCCCAAACTGTGACTACTTCTCCTGGACCCTCTTGAAGAAAAGTCACGAGGCTTTCCTGGGTAAACATGCATCATAATAATGTTTTAAGTTTCCTTTATTTAACCAGTGAAAACTCAACAGACAATGATGTTCACATGGACGAGATTGACACGGGTGACCAAAATGATAAAAGCCATAATATACAACAGCAAGTACGAAAATCAACTCAATAGAAATCAGAACCAAATAAACAACCACGTGACAGAAGATATCTAAAACAGTGCACTCACATAAATAATCCTGAATAAAAATAACTTCCCGTTACAAAGTATGGCCCAGGCCAATTCCCTTTAAGAACCACTCGTGGCAAAAGTGGGTGACAGAAATATCAACACCGGCGATGGACCACGGCGAGTCATCCGGAAACTATGAAAAGGTTTTACCTTTTCTGGCAATAAAACAGGCGTTAAGATGTTCAAACACCAAATAGAAACCTTTGGCAAGAAATCAAGTCTGCATTAACCACACGCAATTGTGGTGCACATGCAAACAACATGCAAACAACCATCCTCTTATAATATATGCATTGTATTTGAAACTGATTGGCCTACACCAGAAACAGCAATCTTTTGTTTGCATGTTCACCACAAGTACGTGTGGTTAATGCAGACTTAACACCTGTTTTATTGCCAGAAAGGGTCAAACCTATTCTTATTTTTCATACTTTGGTATTAGCAAAAAGGTCCCATGATATCATCCAGAACTGTTAGCTGCACCCACCTAGGATGTGAGCCGCATTCCAACCAGCAGAGGTGGAGAGGACAACGCCTTCCTCCTCCTGGTCGAAGTTGGGGTTGTCGATGCCGATCTTGGGCGGAACTTGTGCCAGATGCTTTAGACGGATCGAGGCATTGATGTCCAATTCCCGCAGCTTCCGCTCCTCTTCCTCACGCCGACTGTCGCCGCACATGCGCGCACATTCTCGTCGTTAAATAAATTACTCAAGTCCGGGATAGCATGCGGCAGTCATTGCGCCCTCCTGGAAAACCCAATGCCCGCTTGCGTGCAGGCCGGGTGCCGAGTCATCTTGCGCTGCAATTCGTGTCTGTGTGTTCGTGTCTGTGTGTTCGTGTCTCTGTGAGTGTCTCCGTGTGTGTGCGAATCTGTGTGTGTCATTGGAGAGCACAGGTGATTCATCTCTACCGGTCGTCTCAGCCAACCCATGACAACTGGGTGTGACCTGTGACCTCCTGTCAGCGAGTCTTTGACACTTCACGTGGCCTCAAAGTGCACCTAGCCTGGCACAAGCGCTGTGGTGACATCTCCATGTCTTGTATGTGAGTATATTTACATCTGTGTGTCTGTGAGCTGCACTGTAATACCACCACCCTGTGAGCTGCATTATCACACTCTGTGAGCTGCACTCTAACACCTTCATACGAAGCTAGGCTCCTCTGGCACAGGCCTTCGTGAATGTGCAAGATTACCCCATTTCTTGGCTAGGGTTTGTATTCGTGCCTCCTGTCACTGAGAAGTCACCAGCAGCTGCCAATGTTTTTCACACCACCGTTTCGCTGGGCATGGATCCCAGAAAATGATGTTGCGACTTAGGTGGGTCGTGAGTCAAAAACTTTGGAAACCCCTCTGCCCTACTGCACTGATGGCAAACTACTGCCCCCCTGGTGGTTAAATGTAACATTTTATTATTATTCCGCTTGTCAATCCAGGGAATCCTCACCGAGCCTCAAGACATTTTTTTTGGAGGGTCCTGTCAGGTTTAGCAGTAAGTAGGGGGGGCAATCCTGCAATGTGTGTAGTCAAAAGTCAGTAATCTGCAGGTAATATTTCAGCATTGGGACGTTTGGCCAACACCAGTTACATCGTGTTTTCTTAAGCTATGACAGCAAACCGGAGAACTCAAAGGACACCCATGCAGAACGAGGGGAGAAAGAACATACAAAACGTCATGCAGAGAGGCGCCGAATCAGGAAGCTAACCCAGGCCCTCCTTGCCATGGAGGCACGAGCATTAACCACTGTGCCCGCCACCGCTGCCATCCTCGTTACCGGCGCATGTCGTCCTGCTGCTGCTTGATGCGCTCCAGCTGCAGCGAGCGGAAGCTCTGCTGCACCGCGTGGGTGCGCGGCCCCAACTCCGCGGGGCAGTCCACGGCCATCTCACGGTGTCCCTCGGCCCCCCCGGCCACCGCGTCGTCATCGTCGGCCCCCCCAGGGTGGCCATTCAGCTGCGCCGTGCTCATCCTCGGCGGTTCGCAACGCGCCCGGATTCAAGAAGCACGCTCTTTTTTTCTTTCTGGGCCCACTCCTGGAAAAAGTCAACATTGAATCCACATTTTTATTAAATGTCACTCAACATTCTCAAAACAAAACATGCGCGGGCTCCTCGGAACCCTGCAAGGCAGTGCCAACATCTTTAATCTCCTCACAGAAATTCTTAAAAGCATCATCTTGTCCTGCCGTGCCAATCGCCTCTCCCTCCATAACTTCCTGGAGCAAGTTTGATATGGTTTACATAAAGGCTAATCAACTGACACGACCTCTGTGTGCAGTTGAATAGGTATTCTGCAGAAAACAATATTGAAGCTGATATTTCTTCAAAGGTATTTTTTCCACAAACATGCAATTCTCTCCACGATGTGGGCCCTGTGGTAACGTGTCCACCACTTGTTGCAGAGGTTGCGGGGGTTTTGTGTCCAACTGGCTGCCCTGGTTAACGAGCCCGTGGCGTCATTCAAGAGACGAGTAAGTGGGCCATCGTTTCCTGGTGTCATGGTCAGAATTTGAAAAATGACTCGCAAACTCCTTCATTGGGAAGCACGTAGCAATCGTCGCCTCCTACTGCCAAAACCGAGCCGGACGTTCTAGAAAAAAAAGGTGAAACTCGGCCAAGGCTTTCCTGGGTAAACAAGCATGGTAATAATAATAAAGTCATGCCAACACGTTAAGCATCTCTACTATGCCCAGCAAGATGTACAGGGCGATCCATGCCCAGATACGCTTGTAAATAATCTGGAGGAATCAGAGAAAACTAATTTGATTTGAAAGCCTCGACACGTCTCCCATCAATGTCATTCAATTCTCCCCTCTGTAAGGTACGGGGCAATCCGCCTCTGCAATATTAAATCACCAATTGAGAAACACGGTCATGAGAAATCGGTGGAGTGTCTATAAATTCATAAACCAGGGATGGTTAATCTTGAAACAACGTGAATAATGATATCCATGTACATTTATTCCGTTGTGGATTGATTGGTCATGCCATAGAAATCTGCAATCTCCATGATTTCACATGAACTCCAGTCATCCTCGCAGGGGCTTTTGGCTAATCATGGAACAAAGACATTCACTGCATCGCGCAGCGCTTTCAGATGCTTTTCTAAAATGCTCTTCCTTCTGATATTAGGACACCACCGGAGCTTTGCACTGTTAAATTTAGATTGAAAACTCATTTCTTTATAACTGGTTTGAGTTTTTAGTTTGTTGTCCTTCCACCGCACCTCCAATTAGCATGATTGACTACATACGGTGTGAAAGAATTTCAACATAAATACATCCAGAGCCACCAACGCTAGAGAGCTCCACCCCGCTCTTGTGATATTCCGCTTGGTGCTGGGATCTCCCCGACTTCTCGGGGTCCCCAAGGGGATATCGTGGAAATACTCTAGACACAAAGATGGGATCCGGGTCCCGTCAGTGTGGGTTGGGGGAACCGCAGGGGGAGGGGGGGGTGTGCTCAGGTGAGAGCCTCTCGTGAACTTGCTGGGGCGGAGAGCAGGCGCTGGGCTGAGCTCTGACACCAAGAGCTGTGTTATAGGGGTTCTGGAGTGGCGCTCTCAATGGTTTATGGGGTCTGTGTGTGGAGGGGGTGATGCAGTTGCTTCACAGGGCTTGGTTTACAGTCTGTTTATGCGATTTACAGGAGTGGTTCTCGACATTCCTGGATCGGTGGAACCATAGTCCAGCCTCAAAACAATTCTGACAGACCACCATTCATGAACAACATATTATTGAATATTAAAACGACTCCAAAAGTGCTGTCCAATATGTTTTAAAAAATCCATAAATTGATTGACTTGTTTTTATAAACACAAGTACAACGGGCAGTACAAAATAAATGTATTTTTTACTCGTAATATCTGCAACATATCCGCAGACCACCGGCACAGTTAACCAATTGTTCCGCAACCTTGAACAATTGGCTTACTGCGCTATTCGCATACCAGATGCTGTCTCAGACCTGCACAATCTTTATATATCTTCCTGACTTCTGACCCAACTTCAACACACACAGTTGACGTTACTGCACTAATCGTCACATCTGACCACTGTCTAATCACTGTAGGGGAAGCCCTACATCCACTTACGTAAAAATTAACAAGGCAAATGATGCATCAATGTGCCTCAGCTGTTACTGTAATTACACTACTGGGCGTTGTGAACATGTATCCCCAATTTCAGCACTGAATGGGAAAACTAACTACCACCGTGGTTCAAACCCTAACTTTAACCCCAACTCCCCAGCAGCAGTCTCTTCTACATAAACAGCATATAGTGGAACTGTTGGCCTCACCCAGTTAGCTTTCGTCCACGCTGTCAATTGACAAAGCTGTTTCAAAATAATTGAGCGAAACTTAACTTTTCACCGATGTGTAATTAACCTGCATCTAAAATTCTTCACGCAAAAAAGACAAGGCCAATCTCTGTGGCTCATCTTTTTATGTTGGACAATTCGACCCCTGATGACAACGTAACATTTCACCTGCAGCGATTCCTTACAACGGTTGTGTATTAAAGTAAATACAATTCACCAGCGCATGATGTACATCGGCTAACTGTCCAAATGTATAACCTCCGAGTTTTGTGGTTTCGATGGCAAACCGTGTCTTGTGATTTGGATTGTGAGCTCCAAAACTTGACACAGCTCTTTTAAGGCTCTACAGCAGTGGTTCTCATCACCTGCTTTGGCTACTGCTGCAACCACCTTGTTGAATTTGGTTGCAACAGAGTAGTACCCTCCCTTGCCTGGACCCAAAATGGTTCTGAGAAATAGATGTATGAATAATGAACGTTAGTATTTTAACCAATTGTCCATTTTGTGAGGTATCATCCGAATTAGCATGTCACCACATACTATGTTGTTGGGGGGCACCTATGGCGCCCCCCAACAACCTAGTTACTCTATAATCAACAATCAGCTCCTCCATCACGTGCAGACAGAATCATGTCTTCGTGATCATCGACATGAGTTCCGTCAAGCATGATCCACCGGTGGCCCGTCAGCTTGCGTAACTCATGTTTGGAGAGTTGAAGTTTTGAACGTTTGAGAAGAGTCTACGATCAGAGCCCTTGGCATCTGTAAAGCATCGGATCGTGTCTGGCATCCCACACTACTTGCCAAGCTACCATCATTTGGCATACACTGGAATTTACAAGCTCGGGTTTTTAGCGGTCTGATGCATCAATACATTCAGCAGTAAAGTAGCTGATCAGGGTCAGTCTGATACATTCGTCATTCACTATGGTGTTCCGCAAGGCTACTTTGTCTCCCATATAATTGTATTCTCTTCATTATCTTCCTCTAACAACATAACCCACTCCTTTGCCGACGATGGTAGACTTCGTGCATCAAACTCATTCAAATCGCAAGCTAAATCGACATTTAGCTGCCCACTGTGCCGATCCTTCACTATCACCACCAACTTTAACACAATTCTTGATTGCATTGACACAAATCTGGTCACGATCAACTAATAAAACCCATTCAACTATATGATAAACGACTGACAGATCCACAGTTCATCCCTTCATATTTAAAAGTTACATACTGACCCATAGTGAAACCATGAATCTGCTTAAAACAACAATCTCATCTGACCTGTCATTGAATGAGTATACAGTATTACGATCTGGCAGAAACACTCCCCAACACTCACCCACACATTCTCACCCACCACAGTTACACTCACTCACACTCCAAAACACTCACTCATAATGACTCACACTACCCTACACTCACTCAACACTCTACAACAGTCACTCACACTTATGAACAGACTCACACTCACAACAACACCCGCCATTCGCCATAAAGTGGCAGTGATGTCACCACGGTGCCTGTGCCAGCTCAGGTGCACTTTGAGGCCACGTGAAGTGTCGAAGGCTCGCTGACAGGTCACAGGACAGACCCAGGTGCCATGGGTTGACCGACTTAGATGACTGGCCGATACACCACCTGTGCCCCCTCCTGTGCCAACTTGCTGTATTTTATCCACCTGGCACTCCGCTCGTTGTTGTGAGCATCGCTCCTCTGCCCTCCGTTGTTGTTGGAGGGCGACTGCCTCCAATTGCCCAGCAGCAGCGTCCTTCACGAGCCTCCTCCACAGAGGCAAATCTTGACACCGTTGGTACCAGTCGTCGGAAAGTCCACCCAGCTTCACATCCTCCCGCACGACATCAGTCCATCTCTAATCCATCTTGTGTCGTGCCCGTTAAAGTCCCCTCGATTCAGCCAAACAGAAGCTGCTTGAACATGCGGGCAAGGTGACATACCCAGCACAGCCTCGCCTGCTGGAGGAACTCACCGACGGGAATGTGTCCATATCTTTCAAGGATGTGTGAGCTCCTTACACAATCCAGCCTGGTTAAACCCAGGATAGATCGTAGATAGGCCTGCCTGAATGTTTCTGACAGGTACAGATATTCTACTAGAGAGGTCCACGTTTCACAAGCATAGAGAAGGGAGGGCATGACTGTGACTGTGGCCGAGAAAACCCAAAGCTTTGTGTGGAGTGACAGACCAGGTAGCTTCCACACAGCATTGTGCAGCCGATGTAAGATGCCTCCCCCGACTAATGCGGAGTGAGACCTGCTGTCAAACCGGAGCTAGTCATAAGCACACTACACTCACCCACACAGACACAAAGACAAATATCCCCCGTGTAGCCTTAACAGACTGTACGGGCAAGTGCTGTTAACGAGCAGCACCTATAGGCACACGAGGACAACACCACGCCCAGCCGCCTTTGTCTCCCTAGTGGCGAAATTTACACATCGCTCCAGGTACTCATTTGAGGCTGAGTCGACCTAGGGGAGGGCCAGGACCGGTTCAGATAATCGTCGCTGGGTGTTGGCCGTGAGCGGGAATCGAACCTGGGTCGCCGGGTTCGTAGCGCAGCGCGCTAACCGCTACACCACCGCTCCCCAAACAACTAACTCACCCACCCAGACTCACCCACACACAGACTCACACTCACCCACACAGACTCACACTCACCCACACACTGACTCACACTCAACCACACACAGACTCACACTCACCCACACAGACTCACAATCACCCACACAGACTCACACTCACCCACACGCAGACTCATACTCAACCACTCACCCAGCCTCACCCACTCACACAGACTCACCCACACAGACTCACCCACACACAGACTCACACCCACACACAGACTCACAATCACCCACACAGACTCACACTCACCCACACACAGACTCATACTCAACCACTCACCCAGCCTCACCCACTCACCCAGACTCACCCACACAGACTCACCCACACACAGACTCACACTCACCCACACAGACTCACAATCACCCACACAGACTCACACTCACCCACACACAGACTCATACTCAACCACTCACCCAGCCTCACCCACTCACCCAGACTCACCCACACAGACTCACCCACACACAGACTCACACTCACCCACACACAGACTCCCACTCACCCACCCAGACTCACACTCACCCACACACAGACTCACACTCAAACACTCACCCAGCCTCACCCACACAGACTCACACTCACTCACACAGACTCACAATCACCCACACTGACTCACGCTGACACAGACTCACACTCACTCACACCCACACAGACTCACACCCACACAGTCTCACACTCACCCACACTGACTCACACCCACACAAACTCACACTCACTCACACAGACTCACTCACCCACACTGACTCACGCTGACACAGACTCACACTCACTCACACAGACTCACAATCACCCACACTGACTCACGCTGACACAGACTCACACTCACTCACACCCACACAGACTCACACCCACACAGTCTCACACTCACCCACACTGACTCACACCCACACAAACTCACACTCACTCACCCACACTGACTCACGCTGACACAGACTCACACACCCACACAGACTCACACTCGCCCACACAAACTCACACTCACCGACTCACACTCACCGACTCTACACTCACAGACTCACCAACTCATACTCACCCACACCGACTCACACTCACCCACACCAACTAACACTCACCAACTCACACTCACCTACGACCGACTCATACTCCACCAATTCACACTCACCCACACCAACTGACACTCGCCCACGACCGACTCACACTCACCCACACAGACTCACCAACTCACACTCACGCACACCAACTCACACTCACCCACACACACTCACCCACTAAACAGACTCACCAACTCACACTCACCCACCGCTCCCCACTAAACACACTCACCAACTCACACTCACCAACTCACCTCTCGTCTCCTCGTCCTCACCTCTCCCCGTGACGTCATGCGGGTCACACCGCGCATGCGCGCAGTGACGCCCCGGCAAATGGAGCCTGGCAGGAGAAAATCGTTTCCTCGCGCGAATCGATTCTCTCTCCTGGCCGACACAAAGCAACGGAATCGCGACGCGAGAATCGTTGTTATGCGATTCGGCCTCGTAGGTGGTTGACTCGTGGTGCACGGGGCGAGCCGCGATGGAATCGATTCAACAATTCCTACCCCTAACGCTGGAGTCAAGGGGGTTAATCGTGTGCAGGTTTAAAATCGGATTATCGATTCGCGTTGTTGTTGTCGTTGCGTCTCATGGGGAAGAAAATACCCCGGGCCCTCTCTCCCCGCCCACTGGCAGTGGGACTCCTTGCCACTGGGGGGCGAGGGGGCCACTGTGGCCCCCGGGGTACACTCTACCCCCCCCCCCCAACCTCAAATACATAACGAGGTCGTCTCAGCACACAGAATCAGAATATTTATTGACACTGCAGGAGGAATCCGTTGAGCTATGAAGCTCTTTTTCACAGATGGTCCAGTAGGGGCACGGGGTAAGAATGTTACAACAACAAAATACAAAAGCACGATAGCAATGCAACGTACAAGAGAAGTAAACAAATCACTGCAAAGGCATAAAAATTCAACTAAACCATTTACATCCGATTCGGTAAAGCGTCCACCCCATTGGTGAATGTACTTTGCTGATGAGTCCTACTATTCAGGACGACACGGATCCTCAGTTGTTTATGAATGACTTTTCCTTGCCAAATGAATATTTTCCACCACTGGATCGGAGCTGTAAAAAGATGAGCATTAGGAATGTTTGTACAGCAATTGTTGCATTTAATTGCACGTGTTTATTCTGGAAGTGTTGCTGGGTGGTGGTGGCTATGCATAGAAAGGATGTGAAACTCCCTTCCCGTGGGCATCGAGGGGACATTTGCTTACCAGCAGGAGGTGACACTGCGAATGTGCCCCACACCTGTTTCATCTGTCCAGGAAAGAGTGTTTCTCCTCGCACGTGTGGGTATTCTCCGGGTTCCTCCCACGTATTAACTCTCCTTAATTTACCGATAGCACCTCAACAGATATATTAATATTCGACTGCAGCGCTTGAGAGCGATTGTTGTCACTGGCTGACCACGTGGCCGCCTTCCCTCTTGAGTGCAGAGACCATCACGCGCAGCGCTTTCAGATCCGTCTGGAACACTCTTCCTTCCGATATTAGGAAGACACTGGAGCTATGCACTTTGAATCTGCTTTGTGTGTTTTGTTTGTTGTCCTTCCCAGCACCTCCGGTTAGAACGGTTGGCTACGTACGGTGCGAAAGAAGTTCAACATGCATACATACAATACAGCGCGCTTTACAAGTTGATATTTTATAAGGTTTAACTTTTTAAATAACAGTTTACATTCATCGCACATGCATATGTTACACAACGTAGGCATTAAAGCGGGGGAGGCAATGCACAAGTGCAGAGCCACTCCTGAGTGATGGTGTTTCTATGGTGCTGAACGAGTTTTAAATCACAGCACATGGATTATTTACGTTGTCTAAAAGTGACAATGACCCCGATCATGTTAAAGTGCTGAATGAACCGTGTGCGTTTAAAAAGTTGCCTCTTTAGGGCCCACCGCACACGGGGATCGAAAGCCCAAAACCAGCTGGCGTGTAAGTGCTGCTCGTGTCGTGTCCAGCACTCAGCAAGCCACAAGCACTGCCAGTGGAGTGTACAGAAGCAGACAGTGATTGCTGAGCTGTCAGTGCCAGAAAGTAATTACATTAGTGTTGTTATTATTTGTACTAACTTGAGCATGCTCGTTGAGACCGACAATTGTTGACGATTTCAAGCATCACTATCGCTCATGATCGCAACCTGTCCAGGCTGTCCGGGTTTGAAATCCCAAAGCTGTCCGGGTTTGACCCGGACAGCTTGGGGATTTCCATCTGCGTTCATGTGGCAAAAATATACTTATTCCGCTCCTCCGATTAGTACGGTTGGCTATGTACGGTGCGAAAGAAGTTCAACATAATACAGATCTGGTATCGCTATTGTGTAGAACTTTGGGTTTTATCTGTGCAAAAGGTGGCATCCATATTATTGGTAATATCTGGATTTTGATCATAGGTCAAGACGTCACAACTTTGTTGAGTGTTGACTTAAAGATTTCGTGACTGCAGGAAATCATATTCTTGGGTCACGTAGATAGGGTCAAAGAAAATAACAAAAAACGACCGCTTGTGTTGCGATCGAAACGTCGTAGTTTTTTGTTATTTTCTTTGACCCTATCTACGTGACTTACCGAAAGACCCAAGAATATTTGTTGAGTGTTACTATATTATTTACATTGCAATATGGTCTGCACATTCATGTTATGACTTTTAAATGTCCACGAGGCCTCTTGTGGTCATAATGCAGTGTCGTGTACACTGGTAGTGACGTATAATTACGTGAGAACATACTATTATGACAGAACCATTTCGCGTACACAATGTGACGTTTTATCTTGAACATCTTTTTCGCGAGTATATGGCCTTGGGCTTTTAAAAGGGAGGTGCCCACTTGAGAACAGAATTAGGAAAGGCACTTGAGGGTGCCATTGGGTTTCTAACAAAATTAATAAAACGTCCCCCCGCCCTCGTGTGCAATGCGAACGTCACAAATCTCTACGCCGCATTCTCTTAACATGCTGTGTAGCTTTACATGGTGGTGGGCCACGTACACGACTCAGTGGGAAAACAAGAATGCTATACAAACTGAAAATAGGAAAGGTGTGGAGATGTCACAAATAATACCAGGCATTGTTACTTGAAGCATTTAATGTATTTTCGAGAAGGAAACGTTAAATTCGTTGTACTACAGCACTGCAGATCAATGTTAACGCGGATTTAAGACGTGGCTGGGTGGCTCAGCTGACTACGACTAATATGTGAGAGCAACTGAGCCAATGTCAGAGACATCCTGCATGGAAATCCGGGCAGCCGCCCACGACTAGATTTGGCTATGACTCCACAAAAGCCATGGCGTGTCATTTGATATTTCACCTAATTCTTATCGTGAATTGCCATAGAATAAAGACTCGAGGTGGAGTATATGAAGACGTGAGCAACCTATTGTGGACAAGATGCCAATTATTGGGTTGGCTTAAGAAGCCATTCTGTGAAGTTTCAAGAGTTCCACATATCAACTCTCTTTGCTCCCTGTCTCTGTGTCAGGTCTGTTTCTCTAAGATCTAAAAGTGAAATGTCTCTGAGTGAGATGTTTCTGTGCAGGATATCTGCGTAAAATGTCTCCGATTTAGATTATGTGAAATGTATGTGTATGTGTGAGATGTCCCTCTGTATGGTGTATTGTCTGTTGCTCTCAGATATCCCTGTCTCTGAATGAAATGTGTCTAAGATGTCTACATGTTAGATGTCTCTGAGTGAGATATATGTTTCTTTGAAATGTCCCTGTCTCGGAATAAAATGTCTCTGAGATATCTTCGTGTTAGATATATTGGGGTGCCACGGTGGAGAAATATTAACCAGTCCCTCCAGAAAAACGCAATTATGCGATCGCAAGATTCCACGCAAAATCAGCCAAAGTCCGCATATTTATGCGGGGGGCGCGTTTTTTCAAATACGCCGCACTTTCGCCGCATAAATTGCAGATTTCCGCGTGCAAAATATGCGGGCTTGCATGATTTCATAATCCCCGCATTTTCGTTGCAAAAAGTCACATATATCTTAGCAGAAAGTTGAAAAATGTTGCGTTTACTTCACACAAGCGCAGCCATTTCCCCTGTTGCCATGGGAACGTTATGAAGTGACGTCACTCATTACAGTTGTAAGATTGCACTTTTTTGTTAGTAGTATGTAAATTTACATTACTGTAAGACTGTACTGTTACTGTATTGCTTACGTTACTGTGCACTGAAAACACTTATTTTAACAGAAGATGTCTGTTTTGTATAGCTACCTCTGTAAAACAGGAAGCACACATTTTATTTTTTAATATTTTATTTATTCATTTTTACAGAAGTTGTAGCATATTCATTTTGTAAAGCTACAGAACTTGTTCGACTCAATGTTTTGTAAGTTTGAGCCATCTGTTTGTTAAGGTCTGAAATAAAACAAGATGAGAACTTAAATATTCCCAGCACTTTCTGTGATGTAGTATGCTTGCTTATCATAGGAAGTAATAAGAAATGACTCTTTACATTAAAGTAGTAGCCTAGTGAATAGGGTGTTGGGGGAATCACTTTTTTTTCTCTTTTTCATCAAACCGCAGTTTTTGCAAGTTCCCGCAATTTAATCGCATAAAATTGCATAAATATCCCGCATATTCCATCGCATTTTTTAAGAAAACGTGCCGCATAATCAACGATTTTTGCCCGCAACAATCACCAAAAAACTCCGCGTTTTTCTGGAGGGACTGATTAACTACCTCGCCTGGTACACAGGAGGTCGTGGGTTAAATCCCGACCCTAACGTTGTATATTTAAAGTATACATGTTCTCCCCGTGTTCTCCCCGTGGTCGCGTTGATTGTTGTCTGGGTCCTCCGCGTTTTCCCTCCACATTTAGAAAAATGCATTTAGAGGGGATTTGAGTGATAACATTTCCACGTGATAAGCCACCTCATTGAGCTATCATTTGTGACCTTACCTGATAAAATAAATCATAGTTTAGTTAAAACATAGCTTAGTGTATCTGTATGAGATGTCTCTGCAGATTTCAATAACGCCAACGAAATCGTACCCTGAAGAGGCAGCAGACACAACCCTACTCAGTAGACCAGAAAACAGCCATGCAAGTGGTCAACCAGAATACACAGGACAGGATGCCGGTTGTCCTGCCACGCCACCCTTCAAACCTGACATTCAAAACGATCCTGAACAATCAGCTTTATTCTGGCTATCGCCTGGTGAGGCTTGGTTGTTCTAATTGCCAGTGAAACGTACTCCAATTGTAAATGTTGTGGGTTTACTCTCCAACACCGTTGTGCTGAACTAGTAACTCATTGGCACGTTTTGTTTACGTGTCGGGCGGTGGCGGCTTTAACGACGCATTTATATTTACGCGATCTACCCCAAAAAACCCCTCTATTATGAATGTGTACCTAGCCTGGCACGAGCGCCGTGGAGACGTCACCGAGTGGCGAGTGGGGCGGTGGCCGTTGCGAGGCCCGTCGCCCCACCTCGCCCGCTCCCCCCACCTCCTTCGTAGCCCCGCCCCTCGATCCCCACCACCCCCCCGCCCCCCGCCCCCTCTCCACCCACAGCCTCCGTCGTCCCGCCCCTCGCACCCCCCGCTCCCCCCTCTGCCCGCTCCCCCCACCTTCTTCGTAGCCGGAAGTGACACGTCCCAACGGCTTCGGGAGGAGACGGAAGTGACGTAGCGGCAACGGCGGCGGCCGCTGATTGGCCAGTTTGATTGTAAGCGCGGGAGCCGCCACGACCGTTGTGCAGGACGAGCGATGGAGGCGCCTCGGCCGTGTCGCGCCGCGCTGCGCAGCGACCTCAAGTACGCGGAGCTGCAGCAACTCGCCAAGCGCTGCGGCATCAAGGCCAACAAGAAGGTGGGGACGGTGGGATGGACGCACGGCATGACGAGCACGGCGCGCGCGGGTTCACTTGGCAGAGGCGCGCGGGAACCACGACGGACCGGGGCGGTGTCGCTCGCGCGCGTGTCCCGCGCGGCGTGAACGCAGCACGCAGAGAGACCCCCCCCCCCAACTCCTCGCAGAGACACCGCAGCAGAGACCCCCCCAACTCCTCGCAGAGACCCCGCAGCAGAGACCCCACAGACCCCGCAGCAGAGACCCCCCCAACTCCTCGCAGAGACCCCGCAGCAGAGACCCCACAGACCCCGCAGCAGAGACCCCCCCAACTCCTCGCAGAGACCCCGCAGCAGAGACCCCCCCAACTCCTCGCAGAGACCCCGCAGCAGAGACCCCCCCAACTCCTCGCAGAGACCCCGCAGCAGAGACCCCACAGACCCCGCAGCAGAGACCCCCCCAACTCCTCGCAGAGACCCCCCCCCAACTCCTCGCTGTTGTGCGATCGCACGCGACGCGCCCCACTCGCACTCGGGTGACTTCTGAGCGCGGTGCCCTTGAGCAGGTGGTCGGTGGGGGGGGGGATAAACACGGCGCGGCATCCCCGCGTGTTGCTGCTTTCTCAAAAGCAGAATGAAAACAACAGCGAACTCAACGCGTTCGTCAATGCCAACTGGCCTTGAAAGAAAATAATGGGCGACGTTTTCGGGAAATGGCCCTTGGTTTTTGTGCCCACCTCGTGTGCGGGTGAATTGTTTACCTTTCTTGTGCTTTGCACTGCAAGTGCAATCGTGTGTTTGTAGTCGTTTTTGTAACGTTCTTAGCCGCAGCTACTGGACATCTGTGGAAAAGAGCTTTATAGCTCATCGGATTCCTCCAGTATGAATACATTCTGATTGTTTCGTGTGGAGTTTGAAAAAGCAACAGGCTATGAAGAAGGTCCGTTGCCCGAAGCATCGCTGGTAATTTATTACTATTCTAAGGCAGGGTAATTTAATTACGAGTGAAGGTCATTTGTGGTACAAGCCAAAGTGTCTTGCTTGTCGTGGGTTTCAGTACGCCGTGGCTTCAGTGTGAGAGACTGATATGGATGACGGAAAGAGAAACTTGCCCATAGAATGTACGCTACACTAATGGGGTAACAGGTTGATTGTTATAGTTGATGGACATTCCATGGTTCATTTGAAGCTTTATGACTGTAGGAATCCATACTCTTTGGTTGTTTCGGTAAAGTCGCGTAGGTATAAAATAAATCACGACGTTACGGGCGCAACATAAGCGTCCATCAGGTGGGAAAGCATGGTCTGCTGCTGAGGCAGACTTCTAAAAGGTTTGAAATGGGTGTATCTCAAGGGTTATAAATAAGTGGCCGGGGCTAGTGATGTTAATGTGAGAAATTAGCATGTACGTGACTTTACCGAAAGAACCAAAGAGTATGGACTCCATGTTCTCTTTAATTATTTTAGTCAACATCCCGATTTGTGTTACCGTGGAGCGCATCTGGTGTGCGTGCTGGTTGACTCCTGACCACTACCACAGCCCTCGTGCGCCGCTCTAACCATCGGCCGCATCGCAACATCAACACAACGATGTCCCCCACTATCTCCTACATTGAAAGTTGCGCCACGGTGGCTAGATGTTAACTCCCTCGCCCTGTATACAGGAGGTCGTGGGGTCGATCCCAACCCTTGGTGCCTGAATATTTGGCGTTTGCGTGTCTCTTCCTGTGGCCGCTTGAATTTGTCTCTGGGTCCTCGGGGTTTAGAGTATTTGGCTGCTGTACATTTCCACACGATAAGCCACTTTATTTGGTTATCATTTGTTGCCTGCTCGCTGTTGAAAAATAGTCTATATAGCTCAGTGGGCCTTATCTGGTAAAAAAAAATATATATAGTTTTAGTAATAATTGGGACATTTAAGAACACAAGCCACAGTCCTACCATTGCAGCCATGCATCCCAAACTGCACCCACATTGAACCACTTGTGGTCTCTACGCTTCTTCAACGGAGGAAGAGCAACACACACTACACAAACTCTCCTGGAGCACTCGTGGCTAGCAAACCTCGACATTGGCAGCCACTGCCTCCGAACACATTGCCTGCCGTACACAAGAATAGAATCCGCTCAAGGGGGCTTAGGGGAGAGCGCAGCACGTGCAATTCGTTCGCTGGCCCGTGGACGCGGGCAACACGGTGGGGAAATGGGATAAAGGAATAATTTCATATGGATTCCACATATATTCGAATATTTTTTTATGTCACGTTTTGTCTTTTCAAAACGATTGCTTAACATTATAATTCCACTCTAGATATGCACTTTAAAATCTAAATTGTAAACTAAGTTCTTTAACAGTTTTTGGTGTTTAGTTTGTTGTCCTAACCTCGTACCTCCCGATTAGCATGGTGAGCTACGTACGGTGCGAAAGAAGTTTAACATACATGCATAGCATTGTTCATAACTTCGTGATGGTTTAATATCAAACGTTATACAATGTGTTATTTTTGTTTACATTCCTCAACTAATTGTTTAGATGTGCACAATTGAAACGCATTGCCTCAAAGTTATATATATGATCTGTGAAGAAGAGTAATTGCACGAAATGTTACCGATTATATCTATTTATATTAAGACAGTACAGGTCCTGCGAGTGTGAGTTTTTATTTATTTAATGCATCCATTGCCTTTTAAGTTGTCCAGTGGTATTCATTCCTATGCTGGAGCATTGCTTAGCATTTTTTTGTCCCTATACATTTCAAATGGCGAATTTGTCTATGTTGAACTTCCTTAGCACTAATTGAATGTGCTTATGTTAATTTAGCTTATGTTAATGTGGACCACATGAATAAACTAATTGTGTTTTACCCTCCCAGGCATTGTAAATGTGAACGTGAGCAGGGTGTGTTTGGTTATATTGGATGCAACAATTTGTATTTTCTCTTTTCTAGGCCGAGAAGCTCGTGAAAGAACTGGAAGAGTATTTCGCAAATGTAAGTTTCTTATTGCCATATTTATAGTCTAACAAACTCCTGTACTGTGCCTACTTTAGATGAAATGTTTTGTGGCTTAGCGAGCCGCACGGTGGTTAATTAGCGTTTGCCCTAGAGAGCCACGCGGTGGTTAATTAGCACGTGGCCGAGGGAGCCACACGAACCACGTGGCTTATTGCGCTTTAAAGACGTGAAGTACAAAATACTAAATATAGAGAGTAAATATGGTACAAATTTCATTATATGTATATACATATATCATGACAAAATATATAACATAAATATATTTGTAAATGTATAACTATTTACATTCTTTAGGCGTGTGGGGAATGGTACAGCAGTGGTTAGCACGCTGCGCTGCGAACCCAGTGGTCCGAGTTAGATTCCTGCTGACGGCAAACATCGGCGACGACTATCTGAACCGGTCCTGAGCCTCCCCGAGGTCGACTCAGCCTCAAACGAGTACCTTGTTAGATGTATCATTGTTACTGGTGAGACAAAGATGGCCGGGCGTAGGGCTGGCCACCCACCCCCTCGCGCACCGTACCGGCCTTCATAGGTGCTCGCTAACAGGACTTCCCAAAACTCTCTTGTTCAGGCTATACGGGGGATCTTTGTATGATAGGCCAATTGCTTCTGGTCACGAGGTACAGGTGGCTACACCCTAAAGAACCCCACCGAGAGGTGTTGGAGTCACTTGGAAATGATTTTGTTGAGTAAGATGTTTGGCAGATGAAGCGAGTTCTTGTGCATATATATTTTACAGTTTATGAACACAATAAATGCTTATGCACTGTATCCTGAGTGTTATGTCATGTGTGTCACCTCTATGAATGACATGCAGCTAAATGTGATGTGTTAGTGGGGAAGAGCTCTAGTAGAAAGTTGATAGGGGTTCTCAAATGGGCGTATGTGAATCTTAAAGGTGGAACAGCAAACCCAGGCCTGCATACACACGTAAGCTTACTTCAAAATGTAATCCCATTTGTCTTGGGTTGTCTATGGAAAAATCCAAGGTATGCACCAGTAATCCAGCATAATAGCGTACTTCAGTTATCTGCTGATTAGATAGCCACACCTTATAAGACTTGTTTAAGAACTAAACAAAAATCAAGACACTTGGCAATATCTCCCATTGATTTCATAGAAACCAAATTGTTGATTGGGAGAGAGACATGTCACCGTGTTATTGTCTGCACACGCCAACATATCGAGTAATAATGATTCATTTCTTTACACAGACGACTAAAATATCAGGTAATGGTATGTGTCACATTCACTGTACCTTGATATAGTAAGTACATTTAAAAAATAACAGCACGAATCTACTAAAGATATATACATTTTTGGAGGCAGGCTCTTAGAATTTCTGAGGCTTTTTACGCTTGCATTGCATGCTCCAAAACTGAGGCAGCATTTGGACACAATGGTTGTGTTTGTTTTGTAAAGTCCGTTCCAGCGGAGGAGAAGGAAGACTCTGATGACGATGCAGCAGCGGTGGAGGTTGAGGAACCAAAACGCAAGAGGTCTAATCACAGTGCAGAGCAAGAGGACTGCTGTGTTCCAGACCAAGTGGAGCAAGCCACATACATGGAGCAGGATGCAGGGGGCATGGAACCAGACAAGTTGGAGCAAGAAGATGATAGCATCAAACTTACGGATGAGGTCCTGCAGCCATGTGACTTAGAATTAACAAATAGCATGAATGAATGTGCTCCACAACAACAAGCCGAGGATGCGGACGTTGATGTGCATGCGGAATCTTGCGGACAGAATGATGCTGTGGTGGAGGTGCGAAAAGAGGCCACGCCAGGGTTGGCACAAAGCGAGGGCAGCGAATTGTCGCGTGGCTGTGAGAAGGAAGAGGAACATCAAGGTCAGGGCGCTCTCGCTCTTCAGGAATCTGAAGATACCGTTGACATGCGAGAATTGGTCATGGCTGAACTTGAAACAAGACTCAAAAATAGAGGTAACACAGTTATACCACTTGCTAAACACGCTTTATTTTTTTTGTTTTCATATTTTGGTCTCTTGTGCATATACTTTTATTACTATATGAAAATAATGCAAATGTCATTAGCAATCAATACAGTATTATGTGATTCTATATTGAAATGCACCCTTTGTAATCGTGTTGTCTGGTGATTGTTGGTCTGCCTGCCCAGCCCCTACCGATCCCACATCTGCAAAGAGAGCTCCTCTGTGGTGCAAGACTCCAAGAGAAGGAGCAGCTCCTCAAGCAAAGAATACCACACCTGGCACAGGTGAGGGCTGCCTTCTCAATTTCCACAAATTAATGGGCATCATTATACGCTGCGAGGCTTGTTGCTTTATCCAGTCATGATCCTATGTTTGGCCATACACACAGAACTCCTTGTCAATGGAGATATGGCAAGACTGGGTCACACGGGTGCCATGATGGTGAGTCATTAACAACCTCGCCTGGTATACAGGAGGTCGTGGGTTCGATCCAGACCCTGATGCCTGCTGTATATTTGGAGTTTGCATGTCTGTTCCTGTGGTCAGGTGGAATTTTCTCCGAGTCCTCCGTGTTTTCCCTCCACATTTAGAATCAACACGAGTTTAGATTTATTTGGCTGCTATAAATTTCCACATGATGATAAGCCACTGCTTTGAGCTATCATTTTCAGCCAGGTCGCTTCTGAAAAAGAGCTACATAGCTCAGTGGGGCCTTACCTGGTAAAATAAAAGTTTTTGATTCCAAGATATATAAAATTTGTATCAGTTGACAGTCATGGAATAATCTTTCTGTGATAATCACACAAGCCTACTTGTTAAACTAAAATCACACTCTTTTAGAGAAGTGCTCTGTGTGGCATGATTTCTTAGAGTCATACATTATGCTACTGAATGTATTTTACGTGAATACAGGTGGCACGGATTGGTCCAAGATTCATGCAACGCACTTTGGAAAAATGGAATCTCTTAACGACTACGTGGAAAGGAAACGTAAACGCAGAGAAGCAATGGCATACTCTGCAAAAGTGATCAAGGTAAGGATTTCAATGTGATTACCTCTCTTTGACCTAACTTGGTTATAATCTGGATGCAGGGATGTTATATCGACATTCACAGCCCTCTCGCACTTAATTTGCTGTGCTACCACTTCCATCACATCACCATCTCTCTGGGCGCCACGGTGGTGAGATGTTATATACCTCGCCTGGTATGCAGTGTCGTGGGTTCGATCCCAGCCCTGAGGCGTGCATATTTGAGGTTTGCATGTTCTCCACGTGGTCGTGTGGATTTTTCTCCGGGTACTCTGGGTTTTTCCCTCTACATTTAGAATCAACATGCGTTAAGAGTATTTGGCTGCTATAAATTTGCACGTGATGAGCCACTTCGTTGAGCTATAATTCGTGGCCAGGTTACTTATGAAAAAAAATAGCTATATAGCTCCACGGGCCTACCTGTTAAAATAGAAAATTGTTCAGTTTTTGTTTACTTCAATTCTGTTTCTTCAGCATATGGAAGTCAATTCATTGGGCGATGTAGTTTTTTTTCCAAAAGTGTTTGTCAGAGGGCATGTCAGAGTGTAAAATTACTTGGTGCGTTTTTGAAGCAATACAACAATTTAATTAAGATTACCCAAGCAATGATATATTCATTCAGGTGAATGAAAAACTACGCATCTAGTTTGTATTTGACATATATCCTTTTATGTTTACAAGTAGCACTGCCTGCGGGTTCGCATGGGATGTAACTTAAGTGAATTGTAAGTGATGTTGATTTCTTGCTGTTCGTTTCCCAATGACACTTGCTGGCCAACTCGCAATATCAACAATAATATAGCATCATGGCTAACAACAATTGACGTAACAACGTTAATATCATCAATACCATGTGTGTAAACGGCAACACCTGTACAGCTATTTTACAACCATAACTGAAGCCACAATATAACCAACCATTTTAAGTACAACCACACAACCATAAGTCGCATAACCACAACTATAATTAAATAACCACAAGCATAACCACCATATAACCGGAACCACAACATCTAGAATATAACCACAAAAACTATTTAGGTGTGGACCAATCAGTTTCAAAGACAATGCAAATATTTAACACGTAGGCTTTTGCGACCAATATTATTCATAATCAACGTTTTTGGGTTTAGATCGCGTTATTTATAAATGTGTCGTAACCCTCCACCACCCGACACGGCCAATCAGTAAAAAAAGTGTCACGTTGATGCTGGATGCAATTACCAGCGAAACGTCGTACTCAAATTGTAAATGTTGTGGTTTCACGCTTCAACACACCGGCGGGCTAAAGCAGTGAACTATTTGTCTTTTGTCAACGTGACACTTTTTTTACTGATTGGCCGTGTCGGGTGGTGGAGAGTTACGACACATTTATAAATAACGCGATCTAAACCCAAAAACGTTGATTATGAATGCAAATATTGTCAGAGCATGTTTTTTGTTTGTTTGCATTTGCACCACATGTATGTGTGGTTAATGTAGACATGATTCCTTGCAAAGGTTTCAGTTTGGTGTTTTAACATCTTAACACCTATACTCTTTGGTTCTTTCGGTAAAGTCACGTAGGTATAAAATAGAATAAAATAGATCACGACGTTTCGGGCGCAACACAAGCGGCCGTCATCAGGTGGGAAAGCATGGTCTGCTGCTGATGCAGACTTTTAAAAGGTTTGAAATGGCTGTAGCCCAAGGGTCATAAAGAAGTGGCTAGGTCTAGTGATGGAAATGTGAGAAATTAGCATGTAACTGGGTACGAAAGTGGCTATGTTAATGTGAGAGATTAGCATGATGTTAAAGTGAGAAATTAGCATGTAACTGGGCACAGAAGTAGCTATGATTTGAGAGATAAGCATGATGTTATTTTATTTTATACCTACGTGACTTTACCGAAAGAACCAAAGCGTATGAATTCCTGCAGTCACGAAAGCTTCAAATCAAGATCTTAACACCTGTTTTATTGCCAGAAATGGAAAACTCCATTATCATAATATAATACTGGCAAAGGAGGTCTCATGACATAGTATAACCACAACCATATTATAACTCCAACTGAAACCACAATTACATATTCTTTGGGTCTTTCGGTAAAGTCACATAGATGGGTTGAAAGAAAATAACAAAAAAAGTATATGAATCCCTGCAGTCACAAAAGCTTTAAGTTAAGATTCACAATTACATAAGCACAACCACATAACTACAACCATAACTACCACCTAATCACAATCATGACCAAAACTTTGCAATTTCATCATAACCACCACTTAATCACAACAACCATATTATAACCCCAACCGTAAGCATAACCACGGTGGGTGCAATGGAAGCCGGTGCGATAACTTGATTTTTAGAGGATGACTTGGGAGATGCAAGTGCTTGATAACAACGCCGCACAGTGTTTATTATTTATCACTGGGGAGTGCTGGCCGCACCACTTTCCCTGATTGCCTCCACGTCGACTCGTTTATACCAAAATGTATAACTTCGAAACTGAGGACTGAGCGGGCAGCTGAGGGCGTGTGCCCAATCATCGCAGACCGTTTCAAACTTAACAACGTTCTGCGGCGCACCTCCCCGGTGTTGGTGGTCTGGCATGACGTAGTACACTCACAAATGCTGGAGTTTGGCGGGTCGCGAATCGGGAATTGGTATACATTTGCAGTTTTCTCCTTCCTCGCGGCTTGTCTGTGCGTGTGGTGTGCGGCGCACACACTCAGTCGGAGACGAGGTAGTTGCAGGAGGCACTGTCTCTCTTTATTATCTCGTTCACACCACCAACTCCGGCCTCCTTTCTCACGACCATGCTGCCGTACAGCCCGGCCCAGACACGACCCTGTCCGCGTTGCACTGACGGCGTCGACCGAGAGAGCCAATTACTGTCCGGCCGCGCAATGATCGGGCGAAGGCGGCGAATAAGCAAAACTCGCGAATCCTAAACTCGCACATAGCGAGAGTTTACTACATTTGTGCAATATTTTCGATTAATCATGCGACAGTTGTTTTCACCCTGATTTATACTTGCTTAATTGCTGTGCTTTATTTTGTAATATTTCGATTTAGTAATTTTTTTGATTTCCCCCACGTCACTCTTACAAATGAGATTCTCACCTGGGGCCATGAATTCCCACCTGGTTCTAATAAAACTGCCTCTTTGCTAGATGACAAGGAACGGGCTCTTCAGTCCAGACAAGGTGCTTTTGACGGGAGCTACCGACAAGGACAAAAAAAGCCGCATTCCAAAACGGAACATGGCATTGCCAGGAGCTTCCAAGCCCCTCACCACTCTGAACACCACAGCGTCCGGCAGCAGCAGCCTGGCCAACGCGGCCGTTCGCAAAACCGTGGAAGGCAGCGGCGTCACGGCGGCTTCCAGGTCCGCCGTGCGCGCAGCAAGCTCGCGCAAATCCATGCCCAAGTCGGCGGAGCGGCGTTCTCCTCGCCTCCAGCTTTTGATGGCGCAGAAGGAGGCGAAATCCAGACCCACCGTGTTCAAGCCCGTCACGTCCACTTCCAAAATGAATGTTCGGTAAACAAAACAACTTTTACCGCAATCCGTAATTGCTCGTTTATACATTCTTTCAAGTGAAGTGTTACATTGTGTGCAAGTCATCACAGCACCCCCAACTTTTGCTTGAGATGGTTGCAGTGTCTTAAAATCCGGAGAATACGTTATCGGGCTTTAGCTATGACATCTCAATGCCAGGTTTTGAGTGCAGTGATTATGATTTCGATACACCATGAACTCATTGAGACTGAAAATAATTAATCTCGCAAGCAGCTATGGTTTTGTTGGTTTAAATCACAGTTGTCAACTTCGCAACGTGTCACGTATGGAGGAGGTTGCGGGGCGTGGTTTAACGACCCTTTCCATTGTGCTCCCTGATTGCGCAGGTTCACCGAGGCTCCCGGCGGAAGACGCAGCAACCCCCCTCGTAGCAGCGTGAAGACCCCCAAGCACGCTGCTCTGTCCATCGCAAGAGAGAGCAGCTCCCCTGCTGTGCGCCAGCATCCCACTGCCAGTGCCCAACTTGACAAGTCTTCAGGTGATTGTGAAATACAGTCGCCGGTGATTTCCTGCTCAAATGACCATTGAGGCATTGGTGCTCATCTCCTGTTTACAATCCTGGGCCTGTGGTGGAATTTCCACCATATGGTGGGGGCCAGCAATCAATAGGACATCCACTATTGACTTCCCCCGCAAAGTGGAATGGAATTCCTTCGTTATTCACGAACTTGCTATCCGCGATTTTGGCTATCCGCGAATCACATCTGGAACTCTACACGACTACTGCGTCAAGAAAGAAAGTGATGAGATAATGTGATGAGAGATAAAGTAATGTGAGATGAATTGATATGTTATTCTAATTTTCATGTATTTGATAGCTTATTTATGTGTTTATTTAAGTGAATTAATAAAAAAAGAAAATTTTTTGTAGGCCAAAATCATTCGCTAAATTTGCTATTCATGAGCATCTGCGGAATGTATCCTCTCGCAAATAATGTGGAAATACTGTCCTCACTGGTGATTTCCCACTGAAATGAGGACCGAGGCACTGGTGCTCATCTCCTGTTTACAACCCTGGGCTTGTGGTGTGAATCTCACCATATGTTGGGGGGCAGCAATCCATAGGAAATGCACTGTTGACTTTCATCGCAAAGTGATACATATTTTATTAACCCTAGGGGGATGATGATGGGTTGATTCAATCCCCAAAGGGGATTTAAAATTTACGACTCTCCGATTGCGAGCCACTCGCTCTACCGCTCAACCACCTGGTTGATTAATATGCGCGGTAATTAATAGGTTCACATGAGCCATGTTGCCACTAGAGGCTGCTACAATTCCCATAAAGAAGGAATACAAAAAATTATAATCGCTGAGCGTGACAATTAGTTTTATTGGGAGAGGAGCGGGTTTGTATAAGCCTGCTGCAATACTGGGTTCATATTCAGCTGTGTTGGCTGCACACTTTCACTAAAAACCGTTTAGGCAACCAGCACTTGACAACACATGTTGAACGAGTGGGAAGTACCTAGCGTTGCCCGGGGAAAAATATATTTCAAAACTTATCTTAAAAACATAACATATACATACACAAATACGAAGCTATTGTGAAAGCCCGGCGTTCAGTTTGTCCATTTGTCCGTCAACAAAATTATAAGAGGCATGCAGAAGTCCTGAATCAAGAAGTAATAGAAAGTGGTGGGTAAATAGTTGATCTAAGAGGTTTCTGAAAATTGTCGACCTCCCCCCACCCCCCCCCCTAAAAATATATATTTACCCCCCCCCCCCGTAGGCGTATATAGGTACACCCCCTACATACAATAGAGTGAGTAGTATCTAGTGACTCTATAGTAGTATCTAGTAACTCTATAGTAGTATCTATTGACTATAGTAGTATCTATTGACTCTGCTGTAGTATCTACTGAATATAGTCGTACATACTGAATCTATAGTAGTATCTATTGACTAGTAGTATCTACCCACTCTATAATAGTATCTATCAACTCTAGCAGTATCTACTAACTCTATAGTAGTATCTACTATCACTCACTACAGTAGTATATACGGACTATAGTAGTATCTACTTACTCTATAGTCGTACGTACCGACTCTATAGCAGTATATACAAACTACCTACTCTACAGTAGTATCTACAAACTCTATAATAGTATATATCGACTCTATAATAGTTTCTACAAACTTAACAGAGTGCCGTGGTGAGGCCTAATCCTCTGCAGAGCCCCCAGCCTTGTCTAGATTGCCCAGGCGGCCGAGGTGGCACCTTTGCCGGCTGGGGCTGCAATGCTACCCCCCCCACCACCCCTGCCAGCTCTACAGTAGCAGTAACTACTAACTCGACAGTAGTATCTACCTACTCTACAGGAGTATCTACCTACTCTATAGTCGTATATACTGACTCTATAATAGTATCTATCGACACTATAGTAGTTAACTACTAACCTAGTATCTACCTAGTCTATAGTCGTATATACCGACTCTATAATAGTATCCATCGACTCTATAGCTGTTAACTACTAACCTAACAGAGTGCCGTGGTGAGGCCTAGTCCCATGCAGAGCATCCAGCCTCGCCTAGATTGCCCAGCCGGCCGAGGTGGCGCCTTGGTCCGGCTGGGGCTGGGCTGCTAATCCCCAGCCCCCTCTGCAGTATTCGTATCTAAGGACTATTGTAGTATCTATCGACTCTATAGTAGTAAATGCACACATTGGAGTGGGGGGGGAGAAGAGGACATCACACTTTGAAGAATTTACCTGCGCGTTGTGTTTTTTGTTGCATTTTGAACGCGAATGAGAATTCCCCCCCCCCCACAGAGTCAGCATTCTCGCGCATGCGCAGATGCGTGCTTTGGCGCTGCCCTCTGCTTATAAAAGGAACAGCCAGTTTTGTTTTACCAGGTTTAGTTTTTTCTTTTTTCATACTTTTGTTCTGTAGGCTAGGCGTAGTCACAAACTGTACCTCTCCATAACAAAGGCTCAGTCTTTTGTTATGCAGTCTATTCTTAGTCTTAAGCCTCACCTTACCATATTAATAAAAAGTGTGCCGTACTTGGCCCTTCCCCTCTTCAACCATTATATATACGGAGTGGTAGCTCTTGTAATCTCTCATTTACTTGATACAGCTGTCGTGGCTGTGACGGTTCCACCTGAAGACGGAAGCTTGTGTTGCCTCCGAAACGTCGTGATTTTTATTTTATTTTACTTTTATTAATTTTATTTTTTTACCTACGTGACTTTACCGAAAAAAACCTAAGAATAGGAACTGCTTATAAAAGGAATAAATTGATAATTTAACTACTTGAAAGTTGACGTATGGGAAATACGAATAGCGCTTTTTCGTTCCGGGGCTTATCGTGTGGTATCTGGGTACTTTTTTGATACGTAAACCCCACAGTTTGTCAGTTAAAAACGTCACAAGGTACCTGCGCAGACAGACAGAGCGACAGACAAAAATTACTTTTATAGGTAAGATAGATCTTTTACGTATTTTAGGAAATGTACATTGATCATATTTTGCATTCGGTGGATGATTTTTTTATCAAAATGTGCACCAGTTGCCCCGTTCAGGTTTGACGGGATTTCCTCTCCTGCTGGAGCCAAGCGGAAGTCGGCGTTCAACCTGCAAGCCAGCCTTGGCAAACCGTTGAGCTACAAACCTCACAAAGGTGAGATCCTTAAGCTACACATTTAGCGCAGGCACGGGGATCGCTACAAGCTGGGTGGAAATTAACTTTACCAGTAGGATTACAACAGAAGTGGAAATGCACCTTGTGTAAATTTGTACCTCTGCCTGCACACATTCTTCTCCTTTGTGATGGGTTTTCTCATCGTTTACAAAAAGTGTTTGGTTTGAATTTCTCAGTAACCAGTGCCAGGCTCACTAACATGTAGTAATTATGATTTTCCATCATAGAGGTTTTTATTTGGGATTGCGTAATATAAATACCACCTGACACAGCCATTTAGTAAGGTTTATCATGTAAACAAAGCATGCCTATTGGCATTGTGAATTGTAAATCTTGTGGGTTGACGCTTCAACAGTAACTAATTGACATGTTTTGTTTATGTCACAAACCTTACGAATTGGCCGTGTCGGGTGGTGGCAGGTTTAACGACACATTTATATTTACGCTATTTAGCCAAAACAACCTCTATTACGGATAACATTGGTCGTGAAAGCCTACTACGTGTTAATCGTGATTGTCTTAAATTTGGTGATGTAATGAATATGTTGAAATGTGTGTGACGGTTGCAGGCAAGCTGAAACCGTGGAATGCTGGGGACGCGAAGGAGAACGGCACCACTTCACTGCCAGACCGTGCAGGCTACAAGCAGCCCAAGTTGCAAACCAGGTAACGGCCATCATTCAGTGTTTGCTTTGTAACCTTAAGCTACTGACCAAATATAGTTTCAAACATGAGTTTGGTGGTTTAAAAAAAAAATAGTGTGCTGGATGGTGGAGCGTAGTTTAACAGGGCAGGTATCGACGTGCCCCATTAAAAGTCGGCAGTCAAAGGAGGACATAAAAGCAAATGTGAATACAATACCAGTTGTGAGGTCGGGTGTTGACTGAGTGTACGGCTGAGGGCTCTAGCAAAAGACAGTAGAGAGGTTTGGTAGCATGAACTTCTTTCGCACGGTACCTAGCCAACCGTGCTAATCGGAGGTGTGGGGCAAAGACAACTAAACACACAAAAAGCAGTTCTAAATAAATGAGTTTGCTTCCTAATATCAGAAGGAAGCGGTCTTTAAAGACCCACATGCAGCTCCGGAGGCGCAGGTTGCTAACCCCTAATCTAGGTTGTATGAATAAAGTATTTAATTATAATAATTGTATTATTATTAGTACACTTGTCTTATATTTATATAGCGTTTTTATACCAAGGCACTTTACAAGGGTTATGAGTGGTACAATTAGGGTAGCTAAAAGTGATATCGTGAATAGGGATGGTGTTATGAGGTTCGTGGGTACGAGAATTACGCGGGTACCTCGGGATGGAGGGAAGGATGGGCCAGGGAGAAGAGGTGGGTCTTGAGGGAGGAGCGGAAACTAGACAGATGGTGCTTGCTTAATGTGGAGGGGAAGTTTGTTCGAGTGCAAGGGGGCTAGTAGGGAAAAGGAGCGGAAAGGGGATTGTGCATAAGGAGAGAGGGGAACGGTTAGGAGTGGTGGGAGAGATTGAGCGGAGCGGGCTGGAGGGGACGTAGAACGAGAGGCAAGGGAATCGAGGTAACGGTGGGGCAAGGCCATGAAGAGATTTAATTACCAGTGTAAGGAGCTTGAATTGACACTGGTAGTAGATGGGGCCAGTGCATTTCTTTAAGAAGGGCAGAGGTGCGGGAGCAGTGTGGTAGGTTGCAAATTAAACATGCAGACTTATTTTCAATCTGTTGTAGTGGAATGAATGCATAGACTAGGAGACCAAGTAGGAGTTGGAGTAGTCTCACCGAGGGAAGATGAGTGAGTGTATTGTTTACTCTGGAAAGCCTCTGAGCATCAAGACACCTTTTTTAGGAGGCCCTGTCACGTTTTTGCAGTTAGGGGCCGATGTTGCTGCCGTGTGTAATTCCAATTGATTAATTTACAGGTACATTTTCAGCATTGGGATGTTTCGCCAAGCACAGTTACATTTAATGTTTTTTTGGACAGGGGTTTTGGCTGCAAAAATTGGCCACGCATAATAAATATGAAAGATTACACTCGCATCCTAACTTTTGTCTCCACGTTAAACTGACTTTGAGCAACTTTTTTTCATGGAGATTATTTGCGAGACCAGCATAATTTACAATTTTATACAAATCTATTTTTGGTGAAATTATTCTTTAATCCATTTTGCACGTGTCGTTTGTGTTTTATCTTCTTCCTGTGGCTGCAGAGACGACCGGCGGAAGAAATTTGAGGAGGAGAGAAAGAATAGAAAGGAGCAGGCATGCAATGCCAGGCGAGGATTTGCCGTGAAATAAGCTGGCCTGCACTCGGGATTATCGGCATTTGGATTATCACCTACTAATGTCACACACGTTACAACTCGGTGGAGGAAAAATAATGCATATTTAAAGAAACAAAAAAAGTAGTGTATATTGATACAATTACATTTCAAACAGTATAAGATAGCTTCAAAATATATAATTTATTTCATATACAGTAAAACCTTGGATTGCGAGTAACTTGGTCTGCGAGTGTTTTGCAAGACGAGCATATTTTAATTAATTATTAATTTGATTAACGAGCGAGGGTTTGCAATACGAGTAGTACGTGTATACGCTTTGTCTGCCGAGCATCACGTGATCACAACTGATATATGAGTGCTTTGGATTACAAACACGTTTCTGGAACGAATTATGCTCGCAATACAAGGTTTGACTGTAATTGAAACTTTCTGAAATACATTTGTCAACTTGATAAAGGTCTGTTCTGTCATGTGATGTCCTGATGGTGGATATGTTTATGGATATGTTTATCCACTATCAGGACATCACATGATGATGATATGGCCCGGTCTGTATCCCTGGTGATGGCCTCCACGGTGCACGGCAGGGATCTTAAGATAGAACTCCTGTCCTTGAAACACTAGGACCTTGTTAAAACCTGGGCAGCTGAGTTTTTGTACATACTGCAGCTTCTCGATATATTTCTTGAGTACTCCGAAGCACAGCATAGCAAACGACAATTCTAGAATAGATGTTATTTTTTGGAAGGAGAGTCCCCTTCCATTAAAACTTCAGGAAGCTGTTATTCTGGGTTTTTTTCTCTTTTCTGTTTTTTTTCTTGACTTGGACCTGGTTGAGGCTCGCCAGGTTTCAGTTTTACAAAAAACCTGTCCATTGAAGTTTGTTTTTGCCTTCTAAGAATGTTCCTGAAGTGTGACATTGTCTGGTCATTCCACAATACTGTACGCGGTGACTCATCCCGACACATACAAGTTCTAGCAAGCGTGTCGTATCCCAAGCAAGACGTATCCCAAGACATTTTTTCTCGTAAAAACACGACGTATATCAAATTCGACATATTCCAAAGCGGTTGTATACCGATGTATGACTGTGTTTGTGATGTGTTTTTGGTCTTTGTGGGGCGTTTTGTTGAGAAAATATCAACTGGGGGAAGGTGACCCCCTTGTTTAGCGCCCCCCACCCCATATATTGAAGACAATGGCTGCTCAAAGGAAGACTACGCTTTGTCACTGCCCCCCCCCTCCGCAAATGACCAACGTATGCAACGTAGCATTAGTTTCCGTCGCTACATATGGGCTTTCGGTAAGTGTAAATAAAATGTTTTCCTTTTGACCTCTCCAAATAGGTTTTTCATTTTGCCAAATTATTGGGAACTGAAACCTATTGGTAATGTTTTGATAAATACGCTTTTAGTCTAGGTACATTTTTATTAAAAGCTTTGTTTAATATACATTTTTTATGATTAATCTTACGTAATTACATGGTGCTTTCTGATTTTCAATAACGTGCTTGAAAATAAGACTGTATTTGCCTCAATCCGCTGCTGCAAGGGGAAGTCTGTCAATACCGTCCGTTGCTGCATGGCCATGAGCGGCACTGCTTATTTTGCCACGTAATCTGTGTATCGCCTGCCTTCAATTGTCAACAACACTGCCTTAATTCAAATATATAAGGGGTGAATTTTCAGCCAATGGCCCTTCATTGAGGTTAGGGTTTAGTACCCAGAAGGGCCATTCCCAATAATGTACCTTATTAAAAAAAAAACCTTTAAGGTCAGCGTTCTTCACGAATTTGGATTTTTTTGTAACCTGTGCATGTGCCGCTGTTTATTTGACCAATTTCATAAGTAATGACCACAATAAAATTTGTGTTCTCTAACCTTCCCTCCCAATTTGTGCTTTCCTTCCGTTAACGTAACACTCAGTTTGTTAGTCCTCATTGATGTGCTGGCAGTATACATTGGCCAAATACATTGCTCAGATCATTGGATTATTGTGCAAGTGCTGCTTTATTTAATCAGCGTGACCACGAGTCGTGATGGTTATACACATCGGCATTCCGTTCAATCTGTCCCCCAACAATAACATTTGGTGTTATTGCACATGCCTATTTCTTTGGGAGTATGCTTCAAGTGCTTGTTTATTGAACACTGTTGTAAGTGGTATCTGGCTATGACTGCTGACCTTAAATAGCTCGGTCTTGGGTGCCTCCCCCGCTTCCGCTTTTTTCAGCTCCAGGACAATGATAACAGAGACGTTTGCTCTCGTGGGTCATGTCATAGTTATTACTTTTTGTTGCTGTGGTTTGTAAAACTTCTTCAGTTGAATAAAAACTAAATAATACTACGTGAGTGTGTTTAGCCGTCCCGGCTAAACACAACGCCTCACGCGGAAACCGCATACAAGGAAAACAATATACAACAGAATGTACACAATCCCCAACTCCCAAAGTTTTAAGAAAAAGTCAATCGTCTTGAGTGGGTTCCTGCAACCGGTCCGTCACCCCGGCTCGACTGAACAGGGGGCAGGGCATCTGTCCGTGGGTGCGGGGCAGCGTCCTGCCCGAAACGGTGCGCCCATCGTCGTTACACCGGCCATTCCCCGATGAGACCCCAACGTGGCCTCGTGTGTCCCGGGGTGTCCCCTGACTCAAAAATGGCGATCCTGCAGACACACGGGAGGCAGACTGCTGAGGTGCGTCCTTCCGTCGCCGCACAGTACGCTCGTCGGACACATCCAATACAGGCCGTTCTGGGATGGGAGATGACCCATTATAAGGCACCACATATCTCTTCAAGCGCGACGGGTGAATGTGCCATAATCGGCGACCGTATCGAATCCTCACACTCTGATCCAGACGAACTTCCACAATCTCAACGGGCCCCTGCCAGGGCCGATGGAATTTCGGTGATGTGCTTACCGGCACCATCGGACAATGTAACCAGGCCTTGTCCCCCACCTGCCATGGTTCACGTGGAGGCTGTGTACCGTGCAGGCACTCATTAGCCACCTGCCTTCGTTCCATATTTCCCAGCGAGGCCTCCCTGGCCTCTTTCAACCGATCCAATGCCTCACGCATGGGGACAGGCACCGTTGGCGACTTTCCTTTAGATTTCATCCCCAGCCTGACCAAGGCCGGGGCTTCTGGTTCACGACCATACATCAAATAGAAGGGTGAATACCCTGTTGAAGCGTGCGGGGCTAATCTATAAGCGGCCAAGGCCGCCGGGACATGAAGATCCCAGTCTGTCTGAGTCGAATTAACCTGTTGGCACAACATAGACGTCAATGTTCGATGAAGACGCTCGACCATCCCGTCGGTTTGCGGGTGGTATGGGGATGTCTGAATTTTCCTTGTACCCAATGCGTCACACACTTCCTTCAATAGGCGGGATGAAAAATTCTTTCCCTGGTCCGTAAGCAGGTGCTCCGGGGCACCTTTGTAAAAAACGTAACCCTGCAGAAAGGCCTCCACGATCGATCCTGCCGATTGGTCCGCTAGCGGCCATGCCATAGGCCACCGAGTGAGGTACTCGACCCCCACAAGCAGGTATTTGTGATTCCGCGGGGTAACGGGGAACGGTCCCAGAATATCAAGGGCTACAATCTCGTTCACCCGCGAAACACGTATCGACTGCAATGGTACCCGATATGGCTGTGCCGGCGCCTTCCGCCGTGCGCACTTGTGACAAGCCTTAACATGCAAATGAACATCATTCTGTAATCCCGGCCAATAGAAATCGTTACTCAGAGTTAAAGCTGTTTTCTATCTCCCCCAAGTGCATCAATCGCTTGTGCGTGTCGCGAATAAGTTCCCCTCTCAAACATAGTGGTACCACAATACAAAACTTCTGCAAGACGACATTCCATCTGACCAGGAGGTCGTCAACGAGTCGAAGAAAAGCCCGATCATCCGACTGTTTGGAACGAGAGGCCCGAAGCCTCATTTTGGTGAGCGAAGGATCGTCCACTTGCAAGCGCGCCCAACGATCCCGTGACAATCCCAGCAACCCAGGCTCTTTAACCGGTGCTTCGTCAACCCGGTCTGAATCGGCTGCAGCGGCCATGGCCGGAATGCCCTGCAGCGGCGGCCCGCAGCGCAGCGATCCCTCGGAGCATCTACACAAGCCCGATGATTGAGGCAATCGGGAAAGAACATCCGCGTTAACATGACGCGTCCCTCTCCTGTGCTGGACCGTGAATGAATATCCCTGCAGGACCTCAAGCCAGCGGGCCATTTGGCCCGAGGGTTGATCGATCCGAAAGGAGTACTGTAGTGCCGCGTGGTCGGTGCGGACCAAAAATTGCCGCCCGTACAAGTATGGTCGATACAGCTGCACAAAGTGTACAATCGCCAACAATTCCCTGCGTGTTACACAATATCTTTGCTCTGCCGGGGACAGTACACGGCTGCCATACGCGACGACCCTTTCAACTTCGTCAATCGTTTGCGACAATACAGCGCCGATGCCTGTATCACTGGCATCGGTGTCCAAAATAAACATTTCCGCAAAATTCGGATATCCGAGCAGTCAGCGTGTGCAGCGGCCTCGCAATTGTGGCAAAGTTTTTAACAAATCGACGGTAGTATGACGCAAATCCCACAAAGCTACGTACTTCTGACACTGTCTTAGGTACTGGCCATGCACGCACACAACTGGTTTTCTCCGGGTCTGTGGCGACCCCTGCTTCACTGACCACATGCCCCAAGTATTTAACAGACGTTCTCAACAAATGTCATTTTTGGGGTTTAAATTTCAAATTGGCGTCCCGCACCCTGCCAAACACAGCCCGTAGCTGCTGCAAATGTCCCTAAAAATCCTTACTGAACACGATGACGTCGTCAAAGTATATCAAACATGACTCCCACTGTAATTCAGACAAAACAAGTTCCATCAATCTTTGAAAGGTGGCTGGCGCGGAGTGCAGCCCCATCGGTAGCACTTTAAATTGGAACAACCCTTGCGGCGTGCGGAAGGCCGTCTTCGGTTTAGATTCCTCGTCCAAAGGCAATTGCCAAAAGCCAGACAAGAGATCCAAAGTGGAAAAAAACTTTGCATCGGACAATGCGTCCAATGAGTCGTTAATGCGCGGGAGCGGGTATGCATCCGCCACTGAAACCTTATTCAATTTGCGGTAATCCACACAAAATCGTAGAGAACCATCTCGTTTTTTAACCAATACGATCGGAGCTGCCCATGGGCTGGAAGAAGGGAGACAATATTCTGTTGCAACATCTCGTCAACCGTTTTCCGAATGCAATCCTTTTCCAGCGGGCTCACACGGTGAGGATTCAATCGAATTGGGGGCGCATCCCTAGTATCAATGTGATGTCGCAATAAGGTCGTGCAACCGACATCAAACTTCCCTGAGCTAAAAACGTCCCTGAATTCCCAAAGCAACTCCCTTAACCGCGTCCGCTGCTCGGGTGTCAAATCGTCGTGGAATTTATACAAATCGCGAAACCAGCTCAGTTCCTCCTCCACCCGTGGCAGCGTGTCACCACTCCCAGTTGCCAAACACGCATCTCCTTCCGAACCCCGCGTGACCGACGCATGCGCCAACGTAGTCCCCTCTTGAATAACGACCGGCTCGTGCCCCGTGTTCACAATCTGAATGAACGGTTCGGCCATCGCCGGCACCATCGTAAAAGCACCCACCAAAGAGGGCATTCGTGCCACAGCATTTGAGGGAGACAACAGAATGCCTTCCTCCAAGTTACCCACTGACAGCCCTTTTTTCAACCTTAACGGCACAAGCATCTGCGTCGCAGGCGGAACGCGCACCGTGCGGCTAACCACCGCCTGAACCACGGCGTTGACATGAGCAAATTTAGACGGAGTTCCCAAAAATTTTAGGCACTTCCCAGATGGCAATTCCAATCGTCCCTTCTCAATCGAAATCTTAATTGGCATCTTTTGCAAAAAATCCGTGCCTAACAAACAAGGTACAGCCAAAACAGACGAAACCAAAATGTATCCAGTTACGCACACCTCCCCGACTTGTATCGTTGCAAGTACTTGACCCAAAATTCCCAAACTGCCCTCATTTGCCGCTATACACGGTGTTGTATGTGTTGTATTATGAAATTTTGATAAAAATAATAAAATTTAATAATTTTCCGAAAAATGCACACATCGCATAAATTATGTTAATGTGTGTAATTATATGCATAAATTATGATCATCACGAAGATTATCGTAGTGATTTATGCGGATGCTTGCGATTATGTTAATGTGTGCAGTTATGATAATTAGGCTTAGTTTCGTTTATCCAGAGTCGTATCAATCAGGATAACACACTTATCATTGATTAAACATTTACCGATTATCCTAGTGTGTGTTATGTTATTTTTTGGTCTCCAGTTTCATATCTCATCACAGGCTACAGTTCTCAAGAATAAGACAGTTTTGCATGGACTTGGAAAGAAGCACTCGAGACTTGGTGTTAAGCAATTTTAATTCTAAACAAACACAGGACAATCTAGTATGCAAAAGCAAGTATACTTCAATAAATTCATGGGCAAGATTATGCAATTAACGAAATTGAATGACTAGAAACACTTCTTCATTGGCGAGATTATGCAGTTAACTAATATGAATACTAAACCCTTCTAACAACCGTAATTTCTACTTTCCCACCAGACATCTCCGTAGTTCCCCCATGTGTAACGGGTTCCGGAGACACTTGTAGATGTACTTCTTTATTACAATACAACACTCCAACAGTTCTCCAACTCTCCAACAGTCCTGATACTCTGTTACAGCCTAGGTACACAGCCTAGCTACACAGCCTAGATACACAGCCTAGATACTCTACTCTGGCTACGCTCCGGAACTCGCCCTCACAAGGCCGTAGAGTCGGGAGTTCCAGAGTCCC